GAGCATATTGTCTCTATTATGAAGATAGCAATAATAAGGGCCCAGTTTTCCTGTTTACTCAGACTGGATTAATGTTATTCCAAGGCCCTCTTCCTGCATGTGCTGAATGGAGTTTCCTGCACGCTCCCTGATTCATTGCTAAGAGCCATAATCTTGACTTGTTAATGTAAGGAAGTTGGTAACTTCAACAGCTGCTTCTAGAAGTTTCCATCTCCTCAAGCATCTTATATCCTGAAAATTTATAAAACCAAAGGCTTAAATTCCCAAGTCATTGAGCAAATGTCAATGTCCTTACTTTCCTAGAAAAGATCAGTGAAGCAATATATTATACATCCAAGCTTTAACAAGACCACTATGGACTCTGACATCGCCTTACTGCAACTGGCTGAGCCCTTAGAATTCAACCACTACGTGCATCCTGTGTGTCTCCCTGCGGAGGAAGAAGTGGTTCAGCCCTCCAGTGTATGCATTATCACAGGATGGGGAGCACAGACAGAAGGTTTGTAGTCTTTGCCATTTTGAAGGTTGAGCAGACTGTGGCTGTATTTTATAGTTTGTTCCATATTGCAACATGAATTCTATCTGTACTTTTGATTCTTGGATTCCTGGATTTCACTTACATGAGTTCAGATGGTCTTGCATGGAAATGAGTAGAAATAAAGCAATCAGTTTAGATTTAGACCATTTGAAAAGGAGAAGAGTCAAGCTGTTTTCTGGAAGCCTTAAATAAGCAGACTGTATAAAATCTAGAGATAGAGGAGAGTAGTGGAGAAAAGTCCTGCTGTACTAGAAGAAAACAGCAAAGGGAATAAGAGATATTTATCATTCTTTGTGCTAAAAGGTGAGGCAGGCATTGTATCATTAATGCCTCTGCCAGCTTCTAAAATGTCTTTTATTTCAAGATAGGGAAAAGAATAGAAAGTTGCAGCAGCTGGAAGTTCCCATCTTGATGCTTGAAGCATGTCAGACCTATTACATAAACCTTCCGAGTAGAGTGACTCAGAGGATGATCTGTGCTGGGTTCCCTCTGGAGGAAGGCAAGGATTCATGCACAGTAAGTGGCTTTCTTATATTTGGGGTACAGCCAGATGGATTCTGAAAAGAGGAGTATTGAAACCTCACTATGAGCTGTTTTCTTGCAAAACAGGCTGTAGATCAGGCATATCCAACCTGCAGCCATGGCTCAGCAAGAAATAACCAGCACTGTTCTATTTACTCTGCCTCAGCTGACAGCAGGACAGGAGAGTGCAGTGCCTAATCATGTTATGGCACGGCATGTTGGCATGTTATGGTATATGGCATGTTTTGTGCACGGCCAAACACGTGAGCAGCTTAGACCTATTTTTGCCAAAGTTATCTTTTAAAAACATAAAGAGTGCTTTTAGATGGTAACCACGTTCCTTTGTCCTTGCGCAGGGTGATTCTGGTGGCCCATTAGTTTGTCCTTCAAAAGATGGCTCAGGATTTTACACCCTTAATGGAATCACTAGCTGGGGCTTGGGCTGTGGAAGAAAGAGCTACCCAGGAGTATACACAAATGTTGGTGTTTTCGTGGACTGGATCAAGCAGAGCATTAACAGTAGCGGTATGCATGGAAACAAACAAAAAACAATTAAATGAATCTTTTGGCTATTGCTAAATACTTGGAGGCTATCATTATTATTTATTTGAGGATACTGTTTTTCTACTTGGTGTGTCTAGCACTCCCTGAAATATAAGCTGTTTAAAGCTGGTGAGTGCTCAGAAGTAGGTGAATCTAAATCAGTAGTCGCTTCTGGAAACTTTATTGGTGTGTTGTTATTCATGTCTCCTGTGTTTCTCCTGATAAATAGTGCTTTTCTATGAAAATCACCCTATGATTTTCATTACTGCTGCTTTGCTGCCGTGTTTCTTAAGGCTAGCAAAGGTGAGGAGGTGTGAAATGACACACGGCAACAGTGAGTCCACTTTGATAAGCATACTGACAGCCTTTGAGGATCTTTGCAACGTTTATCCTGTTTTTTTGATTGCTTTTTTCTTTTTGTAGATCTGCCTGTTTTCATGGTGTAACTGTCAGAAGAGCAGCTGTGATGGACCACACTGCAGAACGCTTCCTAAGTACAAATGTCACTAAAAGCAAAATGTGGTGAGAGCCTATTAGTTTGTGACTGCTGAAGAGATCATAGAGTAGCTAGCTGATACTTACCTTGATTAATTTACTGCTTGTTTTCCTGAACTGAGACCTCAACTTTACATGTGTGCTCTTGGGATATACGGAAGTTACTCACAGGTTCCTCTGACACTGTCAATCTATACTAGAAGGAAGGATAGGTCACCACATACTGCATGTCAAGCATGCACTCGAATGCAACCCTGGATGGAGAAAACAAAAATCTATGCAAAATAAGCATGTATGTTAAACAACTGAAGTCAGTTATCTTTCCATAAGGTCAGTGAGAGTGTTGGCTCTGGCTCTGAGGGGACCTAGGCAGTGGCAGTGCATCTTTAAGGATCAAAAGACCACTGTCTAGTGATTAGTCATGTAAATCAATCCAATTGCTTGGAAAATAGTATTTTAATATGCACAAGTGATGGTCCTTAGAAGGCCGATCTGACTGATTTGTGTATCTATTATTAGAATGATGTGACTACGTTATTTGGCTGTTACTGTAACAATTCTTCTACATGTAATTGTGCCAAAAGAATTTTGGTACTTGGAAAACTGCCACCAAATGCAGAATAGACATAACTGCGTTCAAAACTGCTTGGGCTTTTGAGATGCAAGGAGGGTTCAGTAGGAGAGCCTGGGTGACTTGCACGAGCACCTTCTGGTCTGCCTACCCAGTGGAATCATCCATTGATGTGAAGCCCCATGAACAAGCCCAGCTTGTGTGTAAGATTGTGCAAGATTTTCCCATCTTGTTAGATTAGAATTCCAGTGAAAGGCATTTTCTGGGCATTAAGTGACTTGTTATCAATGTAGGGAATTCTGCACAGTAAGGGCTGTGCTTGGTGCAAACACTCATCTCTACCATCCACAGCTTTTCAGTAACCTGGGGTACTGAGAGTATGTTTCTCGTGCTTGATCTAAGGTTTCCCTTGCATCAAGCATGGTCCCACTTTAAGTGTATTAAATCAGTTATGTACAATCAGTTATTTTAGGTCTGTTAATCTTAGCAGTGGAAGTATTGACAGAAGCCCCAAAGGAAGCCTCGATGACCTGTTGAACATTTATATGTTTATATGTTCTGTTCCAAATTTCTGTAGTGAAGAAAAGTTGGTGTTTTGATTAAAAAGTAACATCAGCTTTTCTGGATAAGAAAACTTCCTATTTTAACAAACTGCTTGTTGTTCAAACAGGGGTGTTAAAAAAGACAGGTAGTTCAGCCCAGCAGCCTCTGACAGCGTGCAGTAATTGGCCTAATTAATCCTAATTAATCTATGTGTATAATCAAAGAGTTACTGTGTAATTCACACGCTTCAAAGTGAGCACATCTGCTTGCAAACAGTGATTTGTTTAATGCCCAAATGGCTGCTTGCACTAAAAATTGTGATGACAGGCTCCAATTAGATTTGCAGGCTGTGCTGTGCACAGCTGCAGTGTTTAGAAACTAGATCAGTATGATAGCATAATAGGTGATGTGAGTGTAATCCTTTGACTCAATGGCCTGGAAAATAACTAGAAAGGAAGTAAGATATCTTGTCTCTGCTGATATCAGTGGCAAAACGTTTTGTGTCCAGATGTAAAGCCCTCATTACAGGAGAGATGTGGACCTCATGGAGCACATCCAGGGGAGGGCCACAGGAATGAAAATACTGCATGGTGAGAGGACAAATTCAGAGGCATAGCTGTGTTATTGAGTATGCTTGTTCCATCTCTGAGCTCTTGGAAGGGACTCCTGAAAAGGAATGGAGGGGAAAATATCCTTTGTGGTTTTTCACCGTGGAAGTTGGTTATTGTTTGGTTCTGGGGGGAGTTGCTGTTTGCTGATGGCATCAAGCGTAACTGTGCTGGAAGTTGGGGTGCCTCATCTCTTGGATGTGGTTCTGTTCTACCTGATGGGAACAGGAGGACTTAAGGTACCTGTGAGGTTGTTTTTCTGTTTGTTGTTCTGCTTATTAAACAAATACAGGAAATATCTAGTTAAAAAAAAAAAAAAAAGCAGAAAACCAACCCCAAAGCAAGAAAAAGCAGTGATGGGGGAACTGCAGGTGGTATCAGCTGCACTCCTATTGAATGCAATGGACATATGGATACGTGCAGAGCTAACATCACTTAAAATGCCTTATGTGTGTTAGGAGCCCTATCATCCAGTGATTGGTTTGATTGTTACAGTACTTATTTTTACTTGGCTGCATGATGCCGACCTTTTGCATTTCTGCCAGTGGTTTCTCAAGTAACCTCATTTCACTGTTATATCCTTCTAGGCTATTGAAAGCTGCAAGGATCTTTTATCAATAAAAGAAGCGCGGACTGTTTCATGATGCAAATAAAATCTGATAGAAGAATTTAAAAACAATGCTTTCAGTTGAGTTAATGCGATGGAATTGTATTTTGGTTTGGTGTAAAGGTTGGGTCCTCCCCCACCCCCCTGTACATCCCTATGAAACTCCTATAAAACCCCCCTGTCCAGGGACCACCCCGGTGTCTCTGCCTCCAATCAATTCCTTGCAGGAGAGCCGCAATCCGAAGGTAGGCTGCTGCTGTGAAATGTCAGCTGGGCTCCCCGAGTGCTTAAAACCGTACACCTTTTGTATTCTTCTGCGCAAGTACAAATGTTTCCTTTGTAACATGGCACGGAAGGGAACTTGCAGACTTCAGAGAGGATGCTTCCGTATGAAAACAAAAAGCTGCTACGTTGTGAACCTCGCGCTGTCGGCACGCACCGCGCTACGTGGCCTAGAAGAGCTGATCTCTGTCGTTTTACAAGGCGGACAGCGGCACGCGGGCACCGTGCCGGCAGCCCCGCGCTGTCCGCTCCGTTCTGCCGGGCGCGGGGGAGGAGCAGAGCGGGGAGCGTAGGGAAGCGCCGTACGAGCGCGAGGCGGAGCCCGGCGGCGGGCGGGCGGAGAGCGGCAGCGTTGGTGCGCCTGCCGGCCGTGGCCGCCGCCATGGAGCCGTTCTCGGTGAGCGGCCGGGAGCGGGGCCGGGGCGCGCGGGGGGGTGGACCAGATGTTCCCTGACCGCTGCCGTTCTCCCCGCAGGGCATCCCCGTGGTCGTGGCCGTGGCCGCGGTGGCCGCGACGGCGCTGCTGCTGCTGCTGCTCAGAGGGGCGGGGCGGGGGCCGGGCAGCCCTGTCACGCTGCGGGACCCGGAGGCCAAATACCCGTTGCCGCTGGTGGGCAAAGAGGTGAGCGGTGGGTGCCGCCGGCGGGTCCTGAGGTTGCGGGGCCGAAGCGGTGGTTTCCCAAGAAGGCCGGGCTCCTGGCTGTTCTGTGCCTTGAAGTCCTGCCTTCGAGCTCCGTTCAACCCCAGGTTTCCGCGGAGTGGCTCCGCAGCCCGTGTTGCCCTGCCCGACCTTTGGGTGCTGGGGGATGCCGTGCAGCTGAAGGGGGACAATTCCTCGATCCTAAAACTCAGAGTTGCGTCGATTTGGTTTGCAGAGCTATTTCAGCTGCTCTTGCTGGCCCCTGGCTGCGTGCTGAAAAGCTCCTAACTCACGGCGTGGGGCAGAGCCTGAGATCAACGCAGCGGTGGTGTGTTGGCTTTATTTTGAATTTCGTGGTTTTTTTTTAAATAGGAAATCAGCCACGACACTAAGAAATTCCGGTTTGGGCTCCCTTCACCAGATCACGTCTTAGGATTACCTGTAGGTAAATACTTCCAGCATTTAAATACGTGTATTTTTGAGAATGAGGGTTTTTAAGTTCCTGAGGTTTCTGTGTGGGAATTCAGAGCTCAGCGAATGCTGGAGTTGAGAGCTGCACCTGAAAGCTGCCGTCTCACAGGGAAGCACCAGCCGGGTTTCCCAAAGAGTCACCTTTCAGATTTTCTTTGTGCTCTGTCCTGCTTGTGTTACGTGGTGTGGTGTAGTTCAGAACAAGAAGGTGAAATTCAGGGGAAACTGAACCAGGCTGAGGAAATTAACCGTGCTCGAGATACAGGCAAAAGAGGTACCTGTCTGAGCTTTTTAATACGACTTACTTCTGTTCTGCTTTTCTCTGGTGCCTCAGTTTGTCAGGTGTCCTCAGGTTTTTGGCAGATGCAGTCACACCCACAGATAAGGAATAGAATTCTTCTGCCTGGGAAGACTGTAACGATTGCATGCAAATCCCAGTGGAAATTTACATCAAAGATGTTGCAATGTTCAGGGCCATTTCTGTGCATGCACCGAACTTTGACTGACAGATACATGTACAGCTTTGGCTTATTTTCTGCACTAGGAAGTTCATTTCAGACTAGGATTGGCGCAGTCTTCTTTCTCATACTCTGACAGTGCGATGGCATTGAACCTTGGACCTTGAATTAATGGTAATTTATGCAGAACGGTGTCCCTGGCTGATATGGCAGATGGAGCCCTGTTTGTATTGTGCTGTGTTTGGCAGCTTTCTTGCTGTATGCACAAGTTCCAGTTCTGTGCTGTAGGCATGTCCTTCTTGCATGCAGCTGATCGAGCACCAGTCTTTCTTCAGGTTCTCTTTAGGCTTGTATGGGGACATGCAATTGAACTAACCATGTTAAGTTGGCAAATGATAAATGCTTTTTATTTGGAGTTTATTCTTAAGAAATTAGGAATATGATACTGCAATTGTATGGGCTGGATTTCTGCCTCCTACTTTTACCAAGATCGTTTTGCTAAAAGTATTTCTGCTACTGCTGCTTCTGCTTTTTGTTTTTATGTGCAGATTGATGCTGCTGCTTGTGAAGCTGGGTGGCAGCAAATGCTGTGTTTTTATTAGCTAAATACCAAATCTAAATACAGAACAGAGTATCCTACAAGGCAGGTACCCTCTACAGCCAGGCTGTGTAAACTGGAGAAAAAATAAAGGAGTTATGGCTGTGAAGATTATTATTATTATTATTATTTTCAGCTTTACAGATGTGGTGTGAATGCATAACGACACAGGAAAACACAAAATAACATCAGTTGGTGAAAGCCAACCTTTCTAGCCTGGGCCATTTGTGTTATTACCTAAAGCAACCTTGGCATAACAGTAACTCCCTGGAACTGAACTAAAAAAATTTACCCTTTCCATAATAATACAGTTCCACAATTTCTTGTGGTTGTAGAAAAATATGCACTTCTTGCGTTGGCTCTTATTTGAAGGTGAGATGTCTGAGAATACATGTGCATGTGCGTGCCATGAAAATAATGAGTTATACAGCTTTTTAAAGGTCATTTTTCCAAACTAGATGCAGTGCTTAAGACTACATGTTTTATATTTGCATTGCAAAGATTAACTCCACTGTTGCTTGTGCTTGGTGGCTTACAATACATGTTCTTCTGTTTTGTCTTCTTTGCCAAATAAGATTTTGAAACCAGGTAATAAAAAAGTCATTGGATCGTAATTCTTTCTCCCTAGGCCAACACGTTTACCTTTCTGCAAGAATCAATGGTAATCTGGTGATCCGAGCCTATACCCCAGTTTCCAGTGATGACACAAAAGGTTATGTTGATTTAATTATAAAGGTAAATTTTAATTTCCTTTAATACAGTTGAATTGCTTACTGGAAGGAAGGGAACTACTTCATTTTAGTGAAATAGAGTTTATTTTAATTGGTTGTCCTTGAGATAGGATGACTGCATGGCAAACTCACACTTGCTCATGAACAGTGAGTTGTGTATCTGTTGCATCTGTTGTCACAGAGAAATAGTAGAGGTGATGGAGATGGAGAAGGGAACTGGCAGTACTGCAGGAACTTCTGTTTTTGCTTGTGGTTGGTTGGTTTGTTTGTTTGTTTTGCAATGAACAAATAGCAGTTGCTCTCCCTGAGGCTGCCTTATGCTGCTATTAGTACTTACTGCTGATACCTGAAAGAAGTTGCATGTCAGTAAGAACTGTCTTTTGTGACTCAAGAGAGGGTGCAATTATGTCTGTAGGCATCAGAAGTTGTGCTAATGGGCTTATTGAGAAAATGGGATAAAGAAACAAGGAAAATCTTGTAAACTAGGGGATGATTTGATCCCAAGACTTCTGGATTTTCCAGTTGTTTTCTAAGACAGTTTGTACTTAGGCAAAAAATCTGGGCTGCTTTGTTTTCTCTGCTCTTCATGTTACATACACAGTGAATTGTCATTAACTACTTAATATTTATCGTGCATCTTGAAAGGCTGAACTGCTAGCATGTGGCTGAAAGGTCACAACAAGAAAAGATGCAGTAATGCTATTTTTCAGAAGGGGTGATTACAAAAATGGGGGTTATAGAAGGTTCTTGTTGGAGATGGTGAAAGGAGGGCATAATCTGCTTGACACATGTTCTTACTAGCCTGGCTGTTTGCATAGGGCGTTTTGCTTACTTAGTCTGCTTATTGTTGCACGGCATAACAGATAACTGAACAAAGAATTGTTGCAATCTTTCTGTGATCTTCAGTATGTCATTCTGACTCCATGAAAGCTAATGGCTGATGTCACAGGAATGGTTGTTTTTATAGGTTTACTACAAAAATGTGAATCCTAAGTTCCCAGAAGGTGGGAAGATGTCCCAGTACCTAGACAACATGAAGATTGGAGATGTTATTGATTTCAGGGGGCCAAATGGACTGCTTGTCTACAAGGGATCAGGTACTGTGACACAAAGGTGGAAGAGCAGAAGGGAGGAACTTGTTATTATTAGAGGTGTTTGATAAACTGTGGTTTGCAGAGAAATTACTTTGAAAAGTAGGAAGGAGAAAATCTATGCTTTCTGATCTTGCCCAAAAGCCCATCAGAGTTGTGATGGGAAGAGAACTTAGTGTTTTCAGAGTAATAGCTCGTTGTTGTCTTACTCCTGGCACCACATCATTAAATGTGAAAGATCCGCTGTTGCGTATTACTAAGAAGGCTGCACTGGAAATCCCTCAGCTATAGATGTGGAGAAAGATGTTCCAGATACATGGCAGGTTGTAACCTCAAATGCCTTCTGAAAATCTTGGCAGTATTACTAAATAATTTATTAACTGCCAGCCAGCTCCATTTAGGTATTAAACTAAGACTGAACTGGCTGGGAGGAAGTTGTATGTTCAAAGAAATAATCTTCTTTGAAGATGTTAGTAAAAAGCCAAAGGATTTTGTATTCATCTCGACTGAGAGGCACTGTGCACTTAATATTCCTGCTTCAGGGGAAGCAGTGCTCAGCACTTCCCTGGATCACAGCCTTTTACACTGAATAATACACTGATGAATCAGTTACATCACTCGAGTCCTCTGAGATATATGTTTTACAAACATTCCTTTCAGCTCTGATTTGGTTGCTGTGAAGAGCAGTAGCCAGGAGAGCTGGTTACTAGTTATAGATTTCTTTAAAGATTATTGGAGTACGTCCAGTGTCTTTTATGTATGATATTTATCCTGGGCTTTTCTCTTGGGTGAATACAAACTGTGGTTTTGTAACAGTTTTAAAGTGACAGTGTACTCAGGTGTAGAGCAGAAATCAGCAAGGTCTTATCACAGAACAATAAAGGCAGTCACCTAACTGACTGCAAGCAGCACAGTGATCTCGTTAACTGAAAACAAAAGACAAACATGAAATTCTTGATGAAAGGATGCAAGGCTCCAACGTATTTGATTATCTTTGTGGCATCTTGCTTCATGCTGGTTTAATACAACTGCTCTGAATGTGGACACACAGAAATGGCTAGATCCATGTTGTAAATGAGGAAGATGAAGGTGGCCTAATAAATCTGCTTTTCTGTTGAGGCTGTGGTTGCCTTTAGCTATTACCAGCTTTCACAGTTGCTGAGCAATGCAGTCAGTGATAAGGGAATTCCTGAGTCGATCATAAATGATGCTGGGTAGCTGGGAAGTCGTAAATCAGTCGTTTGAAGCTAAGAGTGTACAAAGGCTTCTAGCTCAGTGCTGTGCTAAGCATATTTAGCATGTCCAGCAGATCTGCCCTAGTTGGTTGGTAGGAAGTAGTAACATATTCCCATGGAAGTTGTATTTTGTTTAGGAGTTAATGTGTCTACAGGTTTTGAACATGTCTTCTAGGTACCTTTCTGATCAAGCCTGATAAGAAGTCTGAAGCACAGAAGAAGTTTGCAAAGCATCTTGGGATGATAGCTGGAGGAACAGGTACAACTATTCTCATCACAGCAAATGTCACTGTGGAGAATTAAGCAGTCTTCATGGATGCTTGTGAGGAGTCTAATGTGCTGTACTTCTGCAGCAGAGCACTTCCATGAGCGCTGTCTGAGCTGCTCTGTATAAAATAAGCTCCCACTGAAGACCAAGTGAAGGCAGCAAGAATATTGAAACTGCAGCTTTATGTAGATTGAAGTATTTGCTTTTTTTAACTGCTTTGTTTTGAACAGGAATAACGCCTATGTTGCAGCTGATCCATCAAATCACAAGTGATCCTAAGGACTTTACAAAATGTTACCTTCTTTTTGCTAATCAGGTAAGTGTGCTGATACATCTATTATTTGTCCTTTAATGACCTGCCTTTTTTGCTGGCTTAAGTTTTTGAAGCTGCTGTGACACAGAAAATACTGCTCTACATGCTTCACATCTTCCAGTGTCTGTCTGATCTGTAATTTTGGCTGAATGTGTATGACTGAATGTGATCTGAGATGGCATATTTAATATGATCAGCATCGATAGGACCAGGAAGTAGTTACTAAATAAGTTCCTATTATATTGTCTTGGGTTAAAATGATTTAAGAAGGAGAAAGTGAATTAGAAAAATATCTGCAACTATTTATCAATACTGCATGGTGCTGTTGTAGTACCAATGATATTTCAGTTGTTTTGAAGATGGCTGCTCATAGTTTCACCTATAATCCCTAATTCCTGTATTGGAATAAATTGTGAACAGATCGTTATCTTCCTGCTAATCTTATTCCTTGACTGACTGCAAAGAAACAGGACTTTGTTCTGTTTAATTCTGTTAACCAGGGTTAACAGAAGCTAATTGTGATTCAGAAGTTGTTCAGATTGACATCTTTAGAACTGTGTTTAGGTGACTGTTAAGTCTCATGTTTGGTTGCCCTTAATCTGTAGTGATAGTAGCCTGTCATGCAAAGGGAAAGTTTGAATGAGTTACCATTGCATTTGTCTTGTTGCATGCTAGGTAAGCTCACATCAGAGGCTATCTTAAAATGTTGTAGAGCTAAATAGCTGTCTCCTTTTGCAGACAGAAAAGGATATATTGCTCAGAGCTGAGCTAGAAGACATTGCTAAGAGGCATCCTGATCAGGTCACGCTCTGGTATACACTGGACAAGCCTCCACAAGGTAGGCTACTGGTACACACTAAATGTATGCTTACTCTTGTGAAAACTGCTGCTGTTTTCATAACAGCAGTATCTTTGTGTTGGTAAATCAGTTTAAAGTACATATTTTTGTACACTGAGATAGTGGGGGAAAAGGATGCTTTGTTCACTTAAAGCAGCAGAGGTATTCAATGATACCTTGAAACCACCTGGCATTTCTTTTTTACTCTTGTAACAACACTTCTGTCATCACCGAGCTTGTAACCCTACCAGTCTCTTTTAGAGTTTTCCAAATGTGTTGAGTAGCACAAGTCTGAGTGATCTGTCCCTGTACTACTGTCCTGGGTGACCTTTCTCTCCTGGCAGAAAGCCTAATAACTTCATGTTTATTCCTGGCTGATACCTAATTTGTTTAAAGCTGTCATTTATTCATAGACAATCTTGTCTGAAAGTCTGTATAGTCCCTTTTCAGCCAGGTTCTTGTTATCCATCCTCTTTAAAAGGAACCACAAGGTCTGAGCGCAGTGAGACATTTGTCCCTGTCTCTGTTTGCAGTGATGGTGGCATAGCTTCAGCTATTTTGTGAGAAAAACATATGTAGTTTAAAGAGATTTCAGACTGCACGGAGTCAGATTAATAGTTTGATGTGTTTGTTTCAGATTGGAAGTACAGTTCTGGCTTTGTCACTGCAGACATGATTAAAACCCACCTCCCTTCTCCTGGCAGTGAGACACTCATTCTTATGTGTGGGCCACCACCTATGATTCAGTTTGCATGTCAGCCTAACCTGGATAAACTTGGCTATCCCAAGAGCATTACGTTTTCTTATTAATGGTGATGTCATCCAGCTCTTTTTCTTAAGTAAGTACTGCATATTTTCCTACAGGAACGACTGGTATGTAACTGTGCAGTATTTCTTAATTTTGTGTGTTTTTTAATGGCATAGTTTAATTTCTGTGAGTTTTAACTTCATAGTGACCTTTGACTACTAAGAGGCTGAGAAATTATTTTTCAATTATGTGGGAAGTTACTAAGTCATAAGTTAATGTGAAGTATTACCTGCAGTGCTAAGAAAAAAATGTGTAAATTGAGAAGCAGGACAGTGATAAAATGACTTGTTTGTTGACATGGATATGGAATCTGGGAGAGGGCTGTAAAAACTGGAATAGGATGATGTGAGCACTCCATAAGTAATGAATTCATTCTGGTGAAGGAGAGAACAAGGAACCATGTTTTCTCAAAATGCTGTTTTGCAGCCCTTTACAAGACTGTAAGCAAAATGCCAACGGTCTGCCTCTAAAAAGCATCTAATCAAGATTTAGGTGACATGCAATTGCTTATTAATGTAATAGTAATTCTCATTCATGTGGAAGTTACTGAGGAGGATTCTATAACATCATGCTGTCTTCTGATGGCTTGAGTTCTTGTTCTTTTGGCCATTTCCTTTGCTTAAGAGAAAGCATGGCTTCTTCCTTCCTATTGTAAGCCTTGCTGAGTTGGTCTTACATTCAGCTGTACTTTGAGTATTTTTACCATGTAGCATTGAATTTTTAGTCGTCAGTGCATGCAGTACTGCATATTCATTTTCAGGAGTTAGTTCATGTTGCAATTGCTTTAAGGTCTGAAAAATCTCAAAGTCAGAAGACTTGGTTCTTCAGTTGCAAACAACTGTGCTTACTGAATATTTTAATTCCTCTGAAGCAAAATAAACTATCTAGTAATTAAAGCTTGACTTAGGGAAGTTGTAGTAATAATGCAGAGAAAGTCATAGGCATTGACAACTGTGATTCTGTCACTGATAAGAGATCAGCTACCTCTGTTTCTCTTAGAATCATTCCACAGTCAGGAAGTAATAGAAGAATATTCAGAATTTATTCATAACAGTCAAAGGTGTAAGCATGTATGCCTATGTTATAACTAGGATTTCTTACTATATTAAAAAAGAAGATGATATTCACATCAAGCTTAGCATAACACTACAGTGAATTATAAATACTCCCTCAAAAGAAAAAGGGAAAGCTGCTTGGAATAGCTCAGTGATACTAAGGCTGCCTCTGCCAGAGCAGTTATAGTATTATGACTAGGATGAATCTGATCAGTTAATCTGACAAGGTATTTCATGTGTCTGTTAGTATATGCTCACACTAGTGCTGACTGCACCACTACATTGCCAGATCAGAGGGGTACCTGACTGGCACGTTTAGTTTGTTCATGTTCAGATTCATTTATCATTCCTTTGGATTTTTGTTTATTTAATTCTTCAGTGACTGAAAAAAAAAAATCAGCCTTAATTTTAACATTTTGGGCATGCTCTGGACAGCACCTGAGATTTCCCATTTATTTTGGAAGGTTTGTGGCTAGGAGTAGCTCACCCTTGGGCTTATATTAATAGGTAAACCAACATCTTGTAGCAAGAAAGGAGGAAGTAATGCAAACCATGCATATTAATAGAAAGCCTTTTCTTTCCAATTGGACAGATTTCTTTTCTGGCATTTCTCTGTATAAGATCTAGTGTTACTTATTAATTACCTTATTAATACATAAAAGGCATGTGCTATCAGACTGCACAAGCAGCTGTGAACACAACACTTTCACCCTGGAACTGCCCCTTGTGTAAGTAGTCAGGAGCTGCATTTCCCTCTGTTGCAGTACTGCTGTCTTACCTACCTCCATACGATAGCTACAGATCTATTTTGTCAGGTGTTAAAAAGAAACAGGTTTGCTTTACTGTAGTACTTGATGTGCCCTAGTCATGTTTTACATGTGACAGAGCAATAGTATTGATTTCCCACTGCTAAATGAAACACTACATGAAAATCTGCCTGTAGCTGGAATGAAAGGAGAACTGAAAGTGTAAAATAATATGACCAGTTCTCATGCAAATATTACAGTTTCTGCTACCAGCTCCAGTCCTGAAGGCTGTTTGCAGGCATATGTTTAATTAGCTTTAACAATGGAAAAGAAAATAGTGTTACAGTCATTCCTTGTCTTCCTGAACACCTGTGCTGCATCTTATTATTAACCAGGTATTATGCTGAGAGTGTCCTCTCTGAACTGTGTGGATTGTTCAGAAAGCTTATGAGCACCCTGATGCTTCCACATGTACTAACCATTTTAGACAAAACAAGAAAGTACAGAAAAAGCCCTATCAACAGTTGAGCTTCAAGGCCTACAATTTAAAGCAACCACACTGAAAATTTTGTTGCAGAGTACAGCAAGCATCATTCTAGTATTTTAGTTATATTTTGCATTAATTATTTTGATTGTACTTTGAGTTACAAGCCATTTTGATTGTCACCCTCCTGCAAGGGCTTGGTGGAAACTCTTACATTTTATTTTTCCTTTTCTAAACCATGCTTATTGAAGAACAACAGAAAAAAAGGGCAGGGTATGTTCTAGTGAAAGGGGTGACAGTCGTTCTATGAGAAAGTATCTCTGGCTGCAGTAATAGTGAGCCATTACAGCTGTCCTTGCCAGCACCTGTCTGAATTGCTAGGTGGCTCTGATTAGTCCATGTGGTATAATAGAATATTAATGATTTCTGCATTACAACTTAATTATAAAAATTAAAAAATATATATAAAAGACTTTTTCTATAGCAGTACATAAACATGCCATGTAAAAGATGATAAAATATAAGGGTAAAACATACTGGCTTTCCAGACTCCGCATAAGAAACAATTGTGTAGCACTTCTTTCAGCACCTCTTTTACATTATATTATATGGAAAGAGTGCAGAGGAGAGTTACCTGTGAAGTGTTGCTCTGCTAGCAATACTAAATACTATATGGTGTGTGTCACTAGAGGAAAAGAGGTAAAGCTTTTCTGTACCACAGCATCAGGCTTCTCCTGGCCTGCCCCAGGCAGGCATGAGGTATTAGTGGTCTTGGTCACGCTGAAATATCATCTCCAGTCTTCTAAGGTAGGTGTTAAAAATCTGCTGTCATTTAGCATTTCATCTTGGCTTAACATTGTCTGAAAAAAATCACAGCAATATTGAAACAAGTAGACATAGTCAGAGGCCTGTAGTTTAGAGAAATCCAATTGTAATGAGATCAGATTCACAACAGAGGGGGTTAGAGCCACGTAAGATTAAAAGAAATCTCCTGAATGGCTGCTTTAAATAGCAGAAGTAGAAATTTTCACACAGATGTGTGTGGCACTGTTCATACATCTTCAGTCAATTAACTAATTAAAAAAAAATGGACCAGCATGGAGTCAGGAGTACACAGTGATTTATTTCCCTGTGATATTTTCTCTCTCGTACATCTTCAAGTCTTACCTCTTTGCTAGTCTTTGGGAGGGATGCCTCTCACTGTGTCACAGAGATAAAATTGGTGAAAACTTAGAAGATGCTGAAGTGAAACTTAATTTCTAGTAAAAGTGTTTTTTTTTTTTTTGGAGTGTCCATGCATACATATGGCATGCAACCAAGCTATAAAGGAGGTGCATAACAAGAGCAGTGACCCACTTACTCTTAACCACCACTAGCAATACCCAAATCTCGCTGAGTTGTAGCAGAATACATTTGTGACTTCAAAAGGAATAAAACTGGTACATACCGTAAGATTGCTTATGCCTTGAGAAAAAGCCCCTATTTGCTTTACTGTTCCTTCTGAGTGTTCCATCTGTAAAAGTATTCAGCAGCTAATTCAATTCAGGCAGTATGTGCAATATTATTCACTGTACATGCATCACGGGGAGGTATCTCTGCCTTGACAAATGGAGATGCTGTACTTTTAAAAGCTGATTTCAGCACATTTCCAAGCTGCATATGAATAAAAATGTCTCCATGCTATAAAGTGTATGAAAATGCAATAACAAAGGATTAAATCCTGGTTAAGAGAACTGATTTATGGAACCTGATCTGTAATTAAGACAAGAAAAGGAATAGCATAACTAATTATCAGTGAAGAGTAATATTTTCCAGAAGATGAAACACATAATTCCAGTAATAGAACTGCCTCCATAGGCAAGCAATAACAGCAATAACAGTCCTACCTCTGCTTACAAAAAGGCTATCAGTACCAGGGCACTGAGGTTTTGCTGTGTGATCACACTAGAAATCAGGCTTAAGTTAAAGGCCACTATCCTAGTGAAAAATAGAATATTTCTGTAATGTTTGAACAGCTCTGCATTGTAAGCTGTTGGCTCAGACTTAATGCGTTCCCTTTCAACTCTTAATTGTGTAAATGGACATCTGTACTAAATTAGTGTGTATATTTGATTGTCAGGGCTTGCTACTGTCCCCATGTAGGAGCAGCACTTGATTTTTACTATGGTGCACAGTAAAAAAGACAACAGTTAGATAATGAAAACAAATGAGATGTTAGATGCAGTAAACCATGCAAATGACAGAATGACTTCCATAGTTAGTCTTAGCAATTTTGTGGCCATTTTGTCACTGAGTTTAAAATGTTTCACTATGGTCACTGGAATTAGAATGCTGTACCCCAGCTGCCTCTATGTGGGTCTTACACGTTGTCAAGTCCACACAAGCCTTTGGTAGCTCCGTTTTTCAGGGTTTACATTCCTTTACACAACAGCAAAGAAGAGTAGAGTTTGGTGGGTTTTAATTTTCATCACTTATGCAACGTCTGGACAGTTTCGTTAAGCAGTTTGCTACTAAAAGACAAAAGTGAATTATTTAAGTGCTGGTTTATTAATAATTTTGTTCATTACTGAGGCCATTGTTTTCATGTATACCGTTTAAGCCTAACTACCTCCCACGTACATAATGAAATAATGCAGTTGGAATCCTTGATTAATCTGTTAGAAATCTATGATCCAGTTGTACTTTAATATATAACTTGATAGTTCTGTACAAATTAGTCCAAATAAACTTATCACATTAAAAACTGCTCATATAAAGAAAAAAGGTGTGTGCCATACTCAGGTTATGAAAGCCAAAAGTACAAAAGTCTTCTGTTTACTGCAGCCTCTACCTTAATTGCCAAAATACACTGATGTGGTAGTGTAAAGGTGTGAGGTTCCTGAAAAAGGGCTTGAAGATGAATGAGTTCATTGTTATGTTGATGGCAAAAAAAAAAACCAAACAAACAACACACCTTGACATTCTTAGTATAGAACTCTTTCAAGTGTCCATAGCCAGTACTTTCTCAATGAGTTCATGCAGATACAGCAAATACTGTTATATGCTAACATTTGATTATTTGCAAGCTTTGGAATGCAGGAAGAGGATGAGATGAGAATGGCATCAGTCTGTTTGTCCCACCTGATCCAGTTCCCTATCAGTGAGTGGACTAAGGCCTTTGTATCCAGTGTAGTTCTTCTGAGTACCATTTGTAGCACCTGGGTTTGTATCCATAGGACAAACGTAGTCCGTTGATTCATCAAATTTCTTTTTTCTTAAATTTCCAAAATGTGAAAATCCAAGTTTCTTTGGCTAAAATAAAAAGAAAGCAAGTTTTAAACATGAAAAATAAGGTTATTCTTTAAACATTCAAAATCCTTTTCTTTTGATTTACTTATGTACTGTAGTCCTTCAAGTAAATAGATTCAGAACTATATACATTGAATTGTTTTCCAAGTGGGAGTTATGTTCATTTTAAAGAAGCTTAAGTAAGTTCCCTCCTAAGAAAAGAGGAGACTGCATGCTCGTTCCAGAAACAAATTTTAAAAGATAGCTACAAATTACATGCCTTAATACCTAAAGTTAAAAACAATGTAGTACTGCTTCCAGAACAGATCTTTCCCCACTCACATATGTATGTTCTGTATTTTCTTGATGAGAAATGAGAGAGTAAGGCTGAGATTCTGCAATATCTCGTTTTCACAAGCAGCACATACCCGAACTTTGGCAGTGGTGGTCAGAGGTGTGTATGCTGTTGACTCCGTTATGTCCCTTTTTTCTTGCTGTGTCTCTGGCCCGATTAATACATTAAAATTGGTTGTTAGGTGGCGTCGCAGTAGGGTCTTCTGAGGTGGAATATTCAGCAGCATTGCCAGTGTGTCACCGTTGAAGCGGGGTTCGAGAATCTATTAAAATAGTGGTTTTTTTTTTAATAATATGGTTAAATTTGCAACAGTAAATCATTATGGTCTTTAGCAGAGGGATTTCTTCATTCCAGCTGTCTACATTAGACATTTAAGTCAGCAGTACTATGACATTAACTAGGTTTGAATAGGAAATGTGTGGAGTTAGACATTAAGAACTGCAGAGTGTGACCAGACAAATGCCAAATTATATTTATCATCAACAAGGTTGTTTTGGGGATTTTTTTTGCTCTACTTTTTTTTTTTTTTACTACTGTATTATTCTAAAAACAAACTTAATCTTAGTACTATTTTTTTTTTTACTTATTTCTTTGCTTTTTTTTTTTTCAAAAAATCTGCACCATATCCGCACCACAGTATTTTGTTGCTCTTGGCTTTTCTAAGCTACAAATTGTATTTTGAATCAGAAAAACTTTTCAGGCAAGACACATATGAGTTCAAAACAATTATTTCTTGTGGCAGGGTGTTAGCATAATGTTACTAAAGCTGCTCCAAGGAACACTCAGCAATACAGTACTTTTCTCACAGTACAGGTTGTTGTTTTCTAACGTACTACTGTTGCTCTTAAACATACACAGCCCAGCACTGACATCTTAGCAGTTGCTTTTCTATTTACACTTTCTTTTGTAAAATTAAGATGTACAGGTACAGAAGTTTTTTAAAATGCCTGATCATGCTTTCATTTTGCAAATGTCCATTTGTGTTTCTTGCTACGTGACCAGAACAAGTAAGGTTTGCAATACAGTCTTGTCAATTCTTCATAGACAGGTAGTAGGATGTTAAAAAGAATTCTTACAATGAGGCCACCGTGCACTCCACTTCCTCGGAGGTTTGGTGCATATTCTGCCAAATCAACTGATCTGAGCCATTCCATCACTCTGTGATTGGACCACTGCACTACTTCAGAAGGTGAAACATTGCTCTGTTCAAGTAACCAGAAAAGATGATGAGAATACAGCCTGGTCTGTCACAGTGTGTTCACAAAATGAATCTTGAGTTTAGATGAAAACATTGTCCCCTTTTCAACAAAGAGGAGCATTTCCTCTTTCTGTTCAAGGCACCTCTTAAACATCTTCTAATCTGGTGGTATGTATAATCTAGAACAGATTAGACCTATGTACTGCATCAAATTCTAAAATAATAGAGTACACATGCTAAGTGTAAAAAACCCAAACGTTTTGAGAAGAGCATTATTAACAAGGCTGTCATAGTATCACTAGGAATAAGCTCTGGTAGATAGAGTGAAAACAACACAAAAGAAAGATGCATAAGATTCAACTAGTAAGTAGCTCAATCACTTGTGAACTGAGCAGGTTTTTATTATCAGAGAGGACATGTTGCATTCCTGCTCTGGAATACAACACAGCTACTGCTTTAGAGGCAATTCCTTAATAGCTGTGATTGAGGTAATATTGTTCATGGAGTATAATAACAGAGTAATTAGTGCTTGTTTAAATGAAGTTACTTAAACATACTTTTACCTCCTCAACTGGTCGTCTGCGTAGACAGTGAGGGTTAAAACTGTTGATGTGCAGCACGTGAATGGCACACTTAATACTCAGATGATGCAGCTGACTGGTGACTTTCAGAAAGAGAAGGTCATTCTGTAAAAGAGAGAGTCTTTTAAGCAGCATGGAATACATTCAAGAATAGGTACTTTTGCCAAGAAGAAAGATTTCAAGCTCTGTATGTAGTTTTTGGTTTATAGTATTGTACCATATTAATATGGTTAAAAATGGAAGGAGAGTTTATAGCCTGTTAAATAAAACCAAGCAAAAAAAGCCTGCAATTCTTTGCTCACTCTGAAGTTCAGAGTTTGGCAAAAAAAGATTTTAGCTTACCACAGTTAAGTACTGCAACATTCTCCCATCAACTCTGGACTCATGAAACTGGTCTTTGTACTGAGGTAAACCAATATCATCAAGCCAGCCTGTAGATAGAAGAACAATGGTGTACGCAAATCTGTATCAGTGAGAATGAAGCCAGCTTCTTCTGAGGCATTCCAGTAGCTCATTCTACCTATTCACTTTCCAAAGGACAGCCTCTTATCAGGAACCTCAAAGCAATTCCCAGCAGCCAGCTTTGTCAACAATACCTCTGCTGTATTTTAAGTATGTACTTTCTGCAGTGTAATTTAGCTCTTGCTAGACCGAGACCTCTCACCCCTATTTATATTCCTTCTCCCTCAAGAAGGATGGACTGCCTGAGACACGTGCATGTTCAAGCAGTCACCAGCCATCTTTTTAATAGCACTAAGTTTAAACAGGACAAGTTATTTCATAAATGATGATTTTTGTGTTGTTCTGAACATTCAACTAGACAGCTTTACAGTGTGAACTTTCCATGGGAACTCTACTGTTCAGACTGCAGAAAAGTTGTGGAACAATTTGTGAGATGTGGATGCCATCATCAAATTATGATATATGCTTTATAAAGTATTCCACCCAGTGCTGTTATACACTTGAGATTGTACCCAGTGTGCAGATAGACCATACAGTCATCGGTTTGGAGAAAAATTCATCTGATGATTGATCTGAAAATACTTAAGTTTTTGAATTCCTATTTCACTGTATTAAAGAAACACAAAATTTTCTGAAGAATTTTTCACTTACGTGTCACCCAGATATGATCGAGTTGTGCAGACTTCTCATCTTGTTTTGTGTTTATTGATTTAATGGCCAAAACTAATTTCTTCCTGTGCAGTGGGTGCTTTATTCCCATTTCCTGTAATAATAACCATTAACAAATAGTTTGCTTTGCCTCTGGCTCTCTTCATCTCATTAAACATCTCTGAAAACATTTCAAAAATGTAGAACTGCCGATTATTGGAAGGGGCCTGGTTATACAGAAGCAACTGGAGTTTGTTTAAGAGAAACAGGTACAAACATCACCTTTTCCATGTCCTGAGGTGTCGCAGTTAACAGTGTATGGCCTGAAGTCACCCACTGCCGTGCAAAAATCACGTACTGCCCAAGACCGAAGTCTTCAAGCCAGTTGCAAACTCTTTCAGTACTCCACTGAGCAAATGGAGCATTGTAGTCACTGAAAAATAAAAGAGCTCTTTGAAATTCATAAAGGAAAGATGATGGAAAGACCATTGCAGACTAGACTACAGGCCAGGTCCTAACATGCTTTATCCTGTGCAGTAATCAGCTCTAGCAGCCATCCTTGCTGTGGTATGAGTATCCTTCTTCATTTGGGGCAGGGCAGGAGGAGAAGGATAAAAGTTTCAAATAGAAATGGGAAAGGACAGAAAGAGGTAATTGCTGAATCTTCATGTCTGCAGATATTCCCACAGGAGGTGATGAGAAATTTTCTGGTGACATTTTCGTGCTGCTACCTGCAGTTGAGGGAGTGCAGATAAGCAAACCGCTCGGGCTACGCTTTCTACCAGAGAAATTCTTCCCAGCTGTGGAATTCCATGCGTAATTAAGTATGATAATGCGTATTTCACAAAGGGGACATTTTACTGTTCAGTATATTTAACAACACTATATAATTGTGCAAAAAAAAAAAAAAAAAGAAAAAATGTTACCTTTTCTGGCCTTTGGTTTCCTTTGATCTGGATAACCGAGGTCCAGCTGTTGCACGCAGACCACCCCTTCGGAACTCTGCCAAACCCAGGTCGTCTGCAGGGAAGTTACCAGACTGAGTTCTTCTTATTCTTTCAAAACAAAGCGCCAAGACAGTACTGTTAGTGTCCAGCAGCAGTGTTTCATATGGTAACTATAATGACAGCTAGAAACTGTATTAATCTTCCCGTAGAGCACAAACATCTGATTCAGGCAGCAGCTGATGAAGTAGCAGGCAGACATGGTCTAGACCTATCTCAGAAAAGAAAGAAAAGCTTTGCAAAGCAGCCATGACCCTTCAACTCAAATAATAATTCACACCAGAGGTCAGACTTGTAAATGGCTGCAGTCCTGAAGTAGATAAAAGGAACACAGTAAAACTTGGTATTCTCAATTGTCAGCATAATTACACAGGAGAGTATATTATTTCTTCCAATAGCATGGCCCTCTGAACCTTACCATCCACTTTCCTCCATCATTTATACAAAGAGACACACCCATACACTAATCAGAGAGCTGCTTTCCCTCCTTTCCCTGAATTTTATTTTACTCTTGCTGTATCTTTTCATGAGAACTGAATGAATTCTCAGTTTGAAATGCTGTGATGAGGAACTAAAAGACATCTTACTTTCCCCAGATTTTCTTGATCCCTTTTGGACTCTTTCTGTTTTCTAGAGACAGCGGAGACTGTGGACCTGAATCCATTCCCAAAGAAAGAGGTGAAAGATCATCTGAAACTACTGTACCGTCCATGTTCTCTGTTTCTCCTGGGTTAACAACAATAATTGTCAATAATTAGTACAAAACGTGACAAGATTGTTATATGACAGACTAACACTTAAATTAAAAAAACATAATAAAGTACAGATAGCTATAAAAATGTTCTTGCATAAAAAATAATTTAAAAAAGAGTAGTTGTACTTTTGATATAGGAAAAGGGTATTATAATATTGTAATTTCAGTGTATTTTAAAACCTTAATTCCAGATCTTGATCTGCTGTTGCGTTTCCTATTTTTAATACCAAAATTCATCCATCAAAATCAGTGGGAATTTTATTGTTGACTTCAGTTAAAACAAAGTAAGACCAAGAATAAATATATTTTTTAAAAAATAAATCCCATCTGAATGCTATACAGCTAAAGATTGTATTTCATTTCTGTACTACACTTAAGGAGTTGAGTCTGGACTGCCCACTCAGTGTTAGTATTTTACAGAGAAGAGGAAGGGAGGGAAAATGGAAAGGAAAAAATAAGCAGCAAAATTCACGTTCAAAGTTGCATCTTGTTTGGATACGATACCTAGCACGGGTGCACTGACACTCCTGATGCGATCTTCAGTCCCAAGAAGCAGAAAGTCAGATGAAGAAGCAAAGAAGATAGAAAACACCAGCAAAATAAAGTTACAGAAGAGCAAAGTAGTAAGCTAGTAGTAAGCTAGAGTAAGTAGTAAGCTTTTAAAGCAGAAACAAAAAGAAAAGAAGCTGTTATGCTTGACATGAAAGGGATTGTGCATTGGTGTGCACAAGCCCCAGGAATCCTGGACCAGTCATCTTAAAGAGATAAGAATGATCATTTATATTTCATCCATTCTTTGGCAACTGTAACCCATGAAGCAAATACTACTGAAATAAAGCAATGTCTAAAACCACATCAAATTTCTGTGAAATACAGAACTGGAGGTATAATGAGTTTACTGCATGTGGAAGAAAGAAACCAGACTCTGATAACTCAGTGCTTTTAAGGACTCACTGCTTGTTTCTAGAATAACATTCTGCTTTACAAGATTCCCCATCCTTTGATCTTGCACATAAAACACCTAATAGCATGGCTAATAAATTATCTGCTGACTATTAATGAGGAACTACAACGTTGTGATCACAGAAAAACTCCAAAAAAAAAAAACAAAAACAAACCAACAAAAGCCAATAAAACAATCCACCAGCAATCTATTGAAATCTTTAAGCTATGCTACTTAGCAGCTCTTAGGACCATGTGGCCTTACCAAACAAATGCAAAAACCACCAGCAAAAAAATGAAACCAGCAAACAACTGTGACCCCACAACAACTAAAACAAAACAGCTTTTTTCCTTGAAGTATGTACGTTACTGTTGGTTATACTGTAAAATGTCACACATTAAAATGTAGCGAGATGGGAACAGGGAGACTTTTTTTTTTTTTAATATACAGTCTAGCATAAATGTGCAGTTTTGTTTGCTGATGCTTTCTTAAAAAGCAAGGAAGTTCAGGATCACTGCAAGTGGCCCAAAAAGAGGACACGTTCCTATTGTGAATATGTTTGGATCACCAAAAATTCCAATTTTCAGTAACAGATTTGTTGGCTTTTAAGAACACTGCCTTCAAAAAAAACAAAAAACCAAACCAACAAAAAGTCTCTTCATTCTGCTGTCACTGGTATTTGCAAATTATAACATCCAGTGCAAAAAGAAAAGCAAACACTCTAAAGTAAATCCAGCCTTTATCCTCTAGTAAACTTATCTAAAATACTGATATATCGTTAAAGGAGCAGAGCTTTCCTCACTGAATCATCTGTACAGCTCAGTCCATTCACGTAACACAGCAGTGTGCTATTTCCCTTGTCAGTTTGCTTCTTTGCTTCTTCCATAACCCCCCTGCTGCCTCTGAGAGGCACGGATACATACTCAGGCCCAGGATGCTGTTGTACTCAGTGTCATTCGTGTCAGGTGAATTTGACTCATTATATGTTGTTCCCTGGTCTCCATTCTGCATGGGTCGAGGAAGTTTTCCTGGCAAAGTCTGATATTTGCTGCCTTTCACAAGTGGCTTACTCTGTTGATTTGTTTTTTTAAGAAGAGGAAAAAAAAAAAAAAAATCACTCATTGCATTTACAGTCTGGCACACAATAATTTAAAAGTTTAGAAAAAGTATTTTGCAGTTTACAGTTCTAAATGACACCACCACCCTTCGTGTTCCTTTTTACAGATATTCAATTTAAATCTAATAATCAGCTGCCAAGAAGTTCTAGCTAAGACCCAGCCTTCTCTTCCCTTCTTTTCCCTTTCAGCCAGGCTGTAAATTATATTAAACCAAAATATATACTGAATATTTCCTAGTTTCCTCATAAATGTTTTTCTAGCCACCTCTGCTTCCTTCGGGACCCCGACACACATAACAATTCAGTCCTTCCAAGGCCAACTTTGATAGCAGCATAAATGCATTTAGTTATTTCCTTGCCCGTTCTTTGCTTTGTCACATTTTTCCTTTACACTTCACCCAACTGTCTGTTTTTTTGCCTTACAGTTGTGTCTCATTTAAGCCAAAGGCATTTTGATAACTCAAATTTGGTCAGACATTTTACCCACCAGTATTAATGACATACAAAGAATCAGCAGTGAATTCAGGCTACAGAAATTTAGCTTTTGTACGCTAATTTACAGGAATAGAGAGTTTTTTTCTGGAAAAGAAATGAGCTTTCACCTCCAATTATGGGAGTGGTGTACATTCAACGTGTAATTTGAAATAAGCACAAAAACAAAAGTATTCCCCTATTTAGTAACATCATTTAATTGTTTTGAAATATCTCGATCAAACTCGTGTTGGACAGGACAATACATAATTACTGGTTTATCCATTCTCGTTTCAAGGCCAGAAGTGATTTCAGTGATTCTATAATCACAGACCAGATTCCTCAGTTTCAGGGACTGCATGTCAAACCCCTTCTCCTGTTTTGCCAACTGCAGCTTCACAACTGTCCCAGCTTGTACCAAAGATTACATGAGCAGAGAAACTGCATACTACTTTTATCAAAGATTAGCACTGTGTTTTCTGAAGCTGACTTCCAACCTTAGATAGCCCAAAAGCTTGGTTGAATAAAAAACACCACAACCTCCACAAAGAAAAAAAAACCACAAACACCACAAAAAAACAAACAACTCTTCAATCCTTACCCCCACTTTACAAACATTTTAAAAGGGAAAATGAAGAGAAAACACAGCCACAACATCACAGCAGATAAATGTTAAAAGAGTTTACAGTTAATATACCTCTTGTTCTACAACAGGCTGTACTGGCTTTCCATCTACATACTATGGAGTTGCAGGGAGAGTAATTTCAAAGTTTTATGGAAAAAAGCAACAGACAAATGTTAGTATTAATATACATACACAAAACATCAACTGTAGCTTGATTACTATAGGGATGCTATTTAATGCATTGACAATATGTTACAAGGTCTGATATCTCCTCATTTTCATTATGTATTTCATATTAAAAGCATAGGTTCAAAAGAATACAAAATTTGTGCCCAGTTCACATTCTGTTATTAAAGGGATTTCAGTATTTCTGGGCTTCCATTGGACTTGCATTGAGCTGGGAATGTGACATTCACAAAACACTTAAAACAATGTGAAAGTGACTGACATTAAGAGAACAAATGCAATGCTGTATGTATCCAGCTGAAACTATAAAAAAAGAGCTGTGATAGAAATGAAGTGTTTAAAAAAAAAAAAAAACAAAAACCAGCATGGGGAGGTCAGAGACACCAGAATGTTTCATCTTATTATTGCTGGATGTAATTATAATTTGAGTCTTGTGCAAAAAACAACTCCAGAAATGGTGCTGTTAGCACAAGTTCCACTGGACTCAGTGAAAGGAGCAGATTCTGGTGCTGGGTCAGCAAAACAAATCTTTGTTTTGGGACTAATTCATATTTAGTCAATCACTTACTTGCATAGGGAGGTCTGTTTCACTAAAAAGCCCCATGCCGAAATGAGGGCACATAATTTAAGTGCCCTGATGAACATGAGGCTCACTAGCTATGGTTGTGCCCCATCTTTGATTTCAGCCTGATCTTATCATAAAGACAAAGTTTTTTTTTAACTTAAGACAAAAATAATTTAAAAGTTATGAAAAGAAAGCAGACCTTCATAAATTCCACATGGAGTAAAGTGTTAGTTGTCATTCAGTCTGTCCTGTGTCTGACCACACTCAAATGAATGCAACATACATTTCAAACATTTTATTTGGTGATAATCATTTTTCAACATTTAAGAACAAATTTAATGAAATTTGAAGTAGTAAAACAATCATATTACTAGGGAATATGGTTATTATCCTTTTTAAATGGCATTACTAAGTATGCATAATTCGTGTTAAGCCTAGTTTTGGTACAGAAAATGTCAATAATAGTTTCACAAATTTTATGTGCAGAAAAAGCTTCATTGTGTGTAACAAAAAATAAAACCTCTGGACCATAGCATAAGGAGACTTTATAAATTGTGAAGTCTTAATTCTGGAATTAAGTCACAGAATTAACAACAGTGCTCCTGCTGTTTAACGAAAACAGCATTGCTACCATCTTCAATAATGCCATTTACATCAGAAGTCAGAGTTAGGGAGTAACACTCATAGTTATGTGCAAACATTCAAAAAGAAATCCTATGTGAAAATGCATGCCCATTCTCAATACTTTTTGATTGCTTTCAAGTTCTGTTGTCTTAACATTTCAGCAAATAGGAAGTCAAAATTATTTTAAAAACACCTTTCTATAAACAAAATGTTATCCAGTTCAACAGAATGGCTCCTCATTAACATTATAGTTATACTTCTCTAAAATACTTTTATCATAGAAATTTGAGTACAAATAAACCAACCTTTTCCAGAGATTCACTCTGCAAGTCTTCTAAGCTACTTGACTTTTTTTTCTGTGGAACCCTTAAAATTATAAGAGGCAAAAAGACCACAATAAATACAATATAATATGTTTACATCACAACTCTATCATGACAGCTGTTGTATATCACAATTTCTTTGTCTAACAGATAACTCACAAACAGAAGATTTGTTTGTACCCTAAAACTCCTAGTACTGGGTTTAAAACAGCACTGACGTAGATGAAGTCAGAAACATGAAAAAGACTTTTAGTCAGCAATGAAAGGCAACAAGTACAGTGACCAAATTCAAACCATAAATGACTTTTTAGAAGCTCTGAAGCAAAAGTAGATGTTAATAAAGCTCTGCAAACACCACGCAACATTAAGGGCTTTAAAAAAGATTTTTAAAAAGGAAGGAAAAAAGTTGTTTAAGAGCAGACAGGACAAGATGCAACATTTAAGCAGATTAAATAATGTAGACTTCAGACAACCTGCACAAAAAGTAAGAAAAGCCTTGCCTGATTTCCGTAGTTTTGTGCGTCACTGGAGATAGCAGAGCTGGTGACAGTTCTCCTGAAGAGGCCTATGCAAAATAGAAGTTTCATGCCTGTAACTCTGGTGTCTTCATCTGAACCTACAGTGAGGGTGGTGAGGCACTGCCACAGGTTGCCCAGAGCTGTGGTGTAAGCCCTGTCCCTGGAGACACTCAAGGCCAGGCAGGATGGGGCTCTGAGCACCTGACCTAGCAGTGGGTGCCCCTGTTCACTGCAAGGCAGTTGGACCTTCAGAGATTCCATCAAATTCTAAAGATTCTGTGATTACCAGTAGGCAGAAAAATTTAGCAAGGTCTAAACCCTTGTCTGCATTACCTCTGCTACAACAGAGAGACCAAGACAAACTTGAATTTACAGCAGAACCTGCTTCTAAAACATCTTTACTAAGTACCTCTGCTTTAAATAATTCTCCTTGAGGGTTATTCAAAACAGTCAACTTCCTTAAAGTTGCCTCAAGTTCTTCTTCACTGCCACCAGAGACAGTTCTGTCTGAAGAGCCTGCAAGCATGAAAAGTAGAAATGGAGTTAAACAGGTAAAAATACAACATTTAGGACTGTATTTAGGCTATCTAAATACTAGTTTCTAAATTCCACTTTCTGACTTCATCTGATGCACATAGTTCAGCAGCCTCTCCATTCTACATGCCTCCTTAGGGCTCTGACTTGTAAGCAAGCTGATTTATATTTGAGCAGCAAATATAACACTTATAGTCATCTGTTGTGCTCTGCTTGGAATACGTGAACTGATTGTGAACCATGCTAACTCACAGTTTGATGTTCTGAGGCAAGATCAAGTTGGTACCATTTTCTTTCTCACACTAGGTCACTTTATAGGAATTATGTTAGATGTCAGATGTATCATAAAGCAGTGTCCTGTACTCACTTTGAGGATAAACATGTCAACATTTTTTTTTTTCTGGATATCTCAGAGTGCAACAAAGTTTTTATTCTTCAATTGTCAAATGTAAAAGGATGGAAAAGGCAACAAAACTTAAGGTATTCATTGCAGCTCTTTTTAGCAATACGTCATGTACAAAGAAAAACATCCTCATAACAGATTCCTTGTGATGAACACAGTATGAAAAGCATGACATGAAGGGAAAAGTACTCCCAAGTGGCTGGCTGGTGGCTAATCACTACTGCCATTCCTGAACTGAATGGTAGTGTAGAAATCTGAATGTCGGATGCAATTAAAGTTCATCATCTGCTAAAGTCTCCCGGTTTCACTTTACACTGTAAAAACTTGCTCTTTGTTACCTAATGGTCATAGAAATAAAGCATCACGCACACGTAAGGCCTATCTGTATACTTTAATTCATCTGCAGGAGATGATTAAAGTGTCATTTTAATTTTGAATAACAGATTCCAGAAGAGGATTTAATGCAATCTAGCAAGACTACTTTAAACTTGAGCCATTAGCTAACTTGATTGAACTATCCTGATTGTTCATGTGTCAACAAATTCTTTGTCAGCACAAGCATTCTGCTCACCTTTTCACCCTTTCTGCTATAATTCCTTTTCATGCAACATCATCACAACCTTCACTACATGGATGTAGGTGTTCTGCAGTCAAAGCCTCTTGCCCCATTGAGGTGTATAGAAAAGTATTTTAAGGAAAGCAGTGCTGACTTTGCATTGCCTTGACACATAATGAGGTAGAACTTCAGACCTGACAGATGAGCAGTTCACACAGCTATACAACCAGAGCAGTCATCAACCATCATTCTTTATCATTCAGAATCATAGAATATAAAACATAAATAGCAGCAAAATTAGGCTCAAGAAGGAAATTACTAGTAACTGATGTAGAAAAAAATTTCAGTAAAGTCTTACAGAATTCAGTTTTCTCTGAATATTAATGTTGTAACTAAATCCTCAGATAGCCTTGATTTTTTTTTTTTTCTTTTTTGCACTGACCACAGGCTAAGAACCAAGAAGGCAACCTCTACCAGCTAGACACAAAAACACACAAGCCTGCTCAAGCAATATTGTCGCTCTCTCTTCTCTTACAGCCCTCCAACATGATACAAAGGTATGGAGAATTAACTATGTGAACTATATAGAATTATTCATGTATATTTTAAGGCCAACAAATAGTACTCACAGTGGATGCAGTTTTTAAAACACTCAAAACCAGGAAATTATTCACAAGACATTTTACCTTGAGCTGCAATCATTATCTCCTTGACCCTCCTATACTGGCTTAGCAGTAGTGTTAACTCTTCTATTCGACGGTCCTGTGAACAGCATTAAATGAAATTTAGTTGCATATTTTCTGCCCTAATCGACACAAGAAACCATGCTTAGAGTTTCTGAAAAAGCTGTTGAGAGATATTCCCTTCAGGAAGAATATTTTATTTTGCAAAATTATTGAGCGTAACAGCTCTGCACTGAATATTTATGAGGCTGTGGGTAAACCATCTGACAACTAATTTAAACACTACATTATCCAAATAAATGACCTTTCATTCCCTGTGAGTATATTCAGGTATGAGGTCATAAAAACAACACCTTACGTTCCCTTCAAATGTTAAAATCTTATACAAACTTGGAACAATTTTGCAAAGCAAGGATGCTACATCTTATCCTCTAGATGGAAATTCTAGCTTTTTTAGTGTTTGAGATACTAGATGCTGTCTCACTGATGTTCTCCAGAATTAACATTGCTCTGTCAGATTCCCCATTTACAGATGGAAGTTTTTAGGGATGTATGTTACTGTCATTACACCTTCATTATATATGAAGGTGGCACCATCAAAGAAAAAGCTTATTAGCTGGTTTATTATCATAAAACAAGAATTAAAATTTTGTCAAGAATTTAAGCAGGGAAAAAGTACTACAAAAATAAGGAACACTTTATGTAATAAAGTCAGTGGTATCTGAAGGTCTTGCACTTGAGTTGCCCAATTACCAGACTAACAGCATAGAGGTTATGAGGGACCAAAGCCATATTTGCTATTTCAGTGGGTTTAATTTTGCGTTCCCTAGTTTTTTTTTATTACTCCTCACACCTCTTTTTTTTTTTTGTTTTCTTTGCTTTTAAACTCGTCCTTATTTTAAACCTGGCCAAATTTTATTAGAAGATTTTACTTTCTTTTTATATCATTATCTGATCTGGGCATACCCTTGCAGTTCAGATCAAGTTGGGAAGACCAAGAGCTACCTGAGATAAGCAAACCTTAGAGCCTTTCTTGCTGTAGCAGAAAACAAGAGATTTTGCTCAAAGGCTTTGCTTTCTGCTCTTCTCAGGAATCCCATGTACCAAGTTAGCAACAAGGTCAGCCATGCTTACTATTAAAAATCAACCTTCTGGCACAGTCTCATGGGATAATCCAAAAACCAGGGCACTATCACACTTAAGGAAAGCAAGTTATTCAGATCTTTACAGAGATTCAAAATCATAATTTCAGTTTTGTTACATGAAGGAAGATTATTTTCTTACCTTTTCTTCGTTTGCAGCCAATAATGATTCCATTCCTATCTTCAACCGTTGTACTTCTTGATCTAAAAATGTGATAAGAAAGATTCTTTCTATATTTAATCTAAATGGTATCTATTTTGCAGTATTCTCCCCTATGTTCTTACAAGTAACCCAAACCATGTAAATTACTTCTAATGTAAAGCTTTTGAAAAGCTGAACTATTTAAAGCACCACAGAATATGAACATGCTGGGTTTGCTTGTAACAGTCTACACAACGCTTGGGAATATTTCATATTCCCAAATTCCCATAAGGAAAAAAAAAAGAAACTTATTTTGCAAAAATGAGAGGGTGTTTGCTGTTCTGTATTTATGGAAATAAAAGTAAACATGACTGAAAATTAATTATGTTCCACGTCAGAAAAATATTCTCTAGTTCATGAGAAGTCATTCAAGATCCTTCTTTGAGACTTGGAAAATAGCAATAATTATTTTCATATTCTCTAATAAGAAAAATTTGTAAAGATTTTTTCTTAAAATGTCTCAGTGTAAATAACTGATTTAATGTCTGCATCAAGAAGTAATACATAATTGCATTACACAAGATAGCAGTACAATATAGATTCAGAGGTTATTAAAAACGTTCTAGTCAAAGTGACTTAAAACAAACTTTCTGAAAACTGACAAGGTAGTCAATGATGTCATCCCAACTTTGCTGAACCACATCCTTCGTTTTTTCTTTAGATAACATTCGTATCAGTTCCAACCTGTTTTGAAACAAGTATAGATGATGGAGATAGAACTGCATTGACATTAGAACAGACCCATTTGTTTCACAGAGGACTATGAAAAACAGATGTGGAAGGCATGAAGTCAGAGTGAGGAAGGAGTCAACAGCATAAAAAGGCATTTTAAAATGTTCTACAACTAAATGTTGGTATAAAACATAATCAATCATTTTCAAGAACTGTAATTGTTTTCTCTGGTAGTGATTCTGAAAAACATGCACTTTGTAATGATTACATTTTAAAACACGTAAAGGAACTTTGCAAACATTTCTCTTTCAAAAAAGAACACAAGGCATGCTCAGACACAGCCAAATCAAAAACTGAAGCCAGCAGACAGTGGGCAAGCAATTGGAAAATGTTTAAAAAGCCATTACAAATCGCAGTGCTGCTCATTTCAGCTCATAAATACTAGACTTCAAAAAGACCTGGTGTTGAGGTATTGTTAATCACACAAAGCAAACTTTACTTATTTATAAGAATACCAAGTATGGAAACAGATTTTTATTCAGCCTTTTTTTTTTTTTTTTTTTAATTTATTTACTGCTCTGATTAAAAAAAACCAAATAAACTCAAATGCTTTCCTTTGAGGAAAAAGGCTTTCAACTGAAGCCATCTTCCCAGGTATTGTAAAAAGAGGTAAAAGTGTTGGCTCTGTTAACCTTGACAATGTCAGTTTGAAGTCCCAGCTATATGATTAGTGAGATTTTGATTTATTTTCTGAAGTGAAATCTTACTGAACAGGGTAAGTAGCTGTCTGCTTGCAGCAAGCAAGGAAAGCAATTTCTCATGTATATTAGAATTAGGCTGTCAAATCTAAACAAACATTGAATTACTGCTGCAGAATGCATTTGAGTTACAATTTGTGTGGAAGGAACAGTGAGAAAAAGCCACAAGTGAATTGCAAGGCTTACGGTTTTTTTTTAGCCTTCTCTTATAAACTTCCTCTATGGTGGCAAATGGTGGGAGTCAAATAAAATATATAGAAAAAGCACAGATTAGATAAGGTTTGCACTTCAATGAGAATACGCATTCTAGTATACTAGAAAGAACATTATTTTTCTACTTTATTTGAGAAGACTGCCTGAAAATCTGATTAATTGTTACAATTTTTTTCAAAAGCATTATTGCTGCTGCTCTAATACTGTCTCTTTTCAAATATAGTCTAAGTGTTTTCCTTAAGGGTAGCATGAAGAATCTGTACAGACACTTCTCCCTCTGGATTCAAGGTGAGTTGCACCTATCCTCAGCATGAACTGGACAAGACACAATGTTAGAAGCTGAAAGTCACTGAGTTCTCAGCTTGTTGGCATACAGCTACCTGTCCCTTGAAATATCACAACTTGAGAATCTCATAGAAAATACAACATTCTATTAGTAGGAGAGTCTGTCCACAAGACACTGTTGTTAGAGAAAGTAATTTCTAGTTAGACATGCAGTACTTCACATGCACAAACTCTGCAAATGAATAAAATCAGTGCTGGGTACATGTTAAGGTTTCACAGAACAGGACTGTCGCTGCTTCCAAATAAACAACAGTCAAGTATACAGACTGTCCTCTTCCAGAAAAGAGGCATCTACAGTAATTCCCATAAGGAGACTCTTGGTGAGCACTAAGAATGAGGGAGCACAAACCTCCCTGAAGTCAGCTCTCAAACAAAGGCACTATTTGTAAACACCAGGTAACATCCACAAAAAGTTAGTGCAGCTATCTGATACACCATGGTAAACCTGCACACAGATAATCCTGCACTAAGAGTCGGTATTGTGGATGAAAAAGTTCACTAACATCATAAAGCTCACAACTAACAGAAGCTCTATGGAGACTGTGGCATCACTGGTTGAGACCAAAGTGTAAGCAAACTGATTAATCTGTAATTCACCTCTATCACGTATGCAGACTTAACACAGAAATCTGTGACACAGTCCTGAACAAAGGAAAGATGTGCATTAACAAATGTTTTAGAATGTTAAATTATTCCAACATTATACCTAGCTACTATTGACAGTGTTTTTCTTAAAAAAAAAAGGCAACCGTCAAGTGATTCAAAGTGATTTTGAAGGTACACTCAAAAAATATATATTCCTTCTGAAGAAGAACAACTCTTTGAAATTACAAATAGAATCCCAGTTGAAAAAGTTTCAGTGGAATTCCCCTCCTCTTACCTCTTTCTGCAACTTCGCTATGTGATGAGGTCCTAGATAGCTGACACTGTAAGCGTTCGATTTCTGCATCTTTGAGAGCTAATTGCTCCTGAAGCTGGGCTATCTCAGCCTGAGAGTGAAACAAATTCAGAATAACATGATTATGGGTTCTCTGTGATTTTTTTCCCATGAACTAGAAGACTTCTAAGCATAACACTGCTTTCAATTAATTCCTTTTCCCAGTTTGGGGCATTTCATAAACACTATACAACCTTATGCATTTCCTGGTGTTGTTCTACAATTCCTTTCACAGAAGCTCCATTTTACAGTACAGTCAGCTCTCAGAGAAGAGAGGATTGTGAGACAGGTAACACTTTGAAGGATTCATGTATGTAAAGAAACTACAACACTACAAGAAAGCTTTCAATATTACACTGCTGATCATACAGTATTGACTGCAATAGGACAACTCCTGAGTTTTGCATGAAGACCACTGTAAGACAGCAAAGCAAATTTTTTTTTTTAATATATTGTTTTTTATTCTAGTTCTACTTAATATAACTTGGGAAAAGTGATTCTTCAGCTTAAAATACAGTGACTCATCTCTTTTTCCTATTTATGATAAAAACTGTCAATAGCATCCTTTACTACATCAGTGATTAAGTTAAGATTTTCTTCAGCACCCTGTAGTCCTTTATATTGAATCACTGCATTTCCCACCAGCAAAAGCATGAAGAACTTGCTTCTAGTTTAAAGAAAATAATTAAAATCCACTAACGTGTGACTAATCTTTCAAAATATTAAAATAAAGGCAGAAAAATGCGAGACACAGAACATCAGCTGGACAGGATGAAATATAGACTAAAATATGGACTACACAAACTTTCTGTTTTTAAACCAAGAAAGAAGGAGGCAGGTGGGTGGCAGGAAGAGTTCACCACAATCCTGCCTGCAGTCCCTCTGGAACAGAGAAATCTGCCTTTTGCATCTCTGGGGGGCTCCTACACTTCCCAGTGCTTTTTATATCCAGTCATGGAAATACTCCAATTCCTCATCTAAGAAGCTGAAGCAACAGAAAGACAAAGCTGCAGACCTCTTAATACCAGATTTGGATATGCCTCTGCTGATCTATTTGACCTCATAGTTCTCTTAATTATTCTCCTTTCTTTTAAATTTTTCATTCCTGTCACCTCTGTAATTATTTTTCTTCTTCCTCTCTTTTTCCCTGTGCACTTTTTCCCCCTTCCTAGTTCTGTAACTTCTCCCACTCAATAAGTGTTACTACTCATTGTTATTTTTGCTCTGCTTCTACCCGTAATCTTCATCTGTCTTGGCAGCTGACCACGTGCTGCTTAACAAAATATTTTCCTCAAGACTGTTCATTGCTGACACGTCAGAGGAGACATTTTCATGGATATAGGAGCTTTTAACTTAATAAATAAATAATAATTAAAAGTATTAGAGCAAAACTTCAATATTCATCTAAGAATTCTCAAAAGAAAAGAAATGTTAATACAGAAAACAGCTATGTGTCATTTCTGGATCAAGCTTTCAGCTATTACAATCACAACTCAGTTTAATAATTTAAAATGTTTTTCCAAGATACAACCACAACTCAGAAAAGTCAGTCATTCATACAAACAGTGATTATAACACTGCATGTATGAAAGGTAGCATGATGACAGAACGAAAGTGTTCCTTCGATCTAAAAAAGGGCTAAAAATTCAAAGAAATAAAGTGTAAATTTTAATAATGAAAACGTTCAACCAGAAAATATACTGGCAGAAATGGTCAAGTGTGTCATATGTGTCATATTAAGTTCTTTTAGATTGAAATACAACAGCTTTCCAGAAGTTAAGGTCAGCACAGGTGTAAGCAAATACATATACTCTCTGATACCATCACAAAGTCACAGTAGATGGTCTACTGGTGTATTCTGGGTTTAACATCTAATTACAGAAGGGCCCGGGTTGGCACGGACCTCAAGGATCATGAATCTCCAACCCCCCTGCCACATTCAGGGCCACCAACCTCCCCATTTAATTCTAGACCAGGTTGCTGAGGGCCCCATCCAATCTGGCCTTGAATACTTCTAGGGATGGGGCATCCACAACTTCTAATAAAATTCCATGGTAAGCAATACTCATCCGATTTTGCATGTCTCTTCAGTCTAGAAAGAGAATGTTCTGCAGAGACTTGTCACCATTACACAAAGCAAGTGTCTTCCCAGAACAAAATGCCTTTAAAAAACAAAACAAACAAACAAAAAACAAACAAAAAAAACCCCAAAAAACAAAAGTGTAGGAGACTGGAGGGAGGAGGTAGCAAAAGGCACAAAAAGAAGCTACAAAAACTGTACTCCAAAATCCTTAGTATATAGATGGTTCAAGGAAACCTGGTTTTATAGTAGGCATTGACACTGTAAGAAAAGTAAATAGTGATCATTAGTGTGTTCATCCCTTTCTAGCTGAAGTAGGTCTGTCATTAGTAAGTGCTAAGCATTCTCCTTACTTTAGTTGCTTTTAATTTCCACTCATATTGATTTCTTTCATTTTCCAGTTCTTCCACTTTAATTTTGAGGTGTCTGAGTTCCTGTAGCAAACCCTGCAAAGGAAAAACAGGTAAATATAAGATTACTCAGGTAGTTATTAATTCTCCATGGTAATGAATTAAAGATCATGCATTAACCATGTACTAATAAACGCTGAACCATCAGATAAAAAAGCTGTGGTTTCGTCTAACCAGATAACAATTATTTTGAAAAGAGAGGTTATTCTAAGAAACAGTTTTCTTAAATTCTCTATCAGAAATTATGAGCAAATTTCTTGGTCCTATTAAGGAAGACAGCTGACCTGGGGAAAGCTGACCTCACAGAAAATGAGCCCAAAAATCCACAACTACAGTCTGATGCAGCATTAACGATTGTTTTTTACTTGTTTGCTTTTGCTGCCATCTCAGAAAAGAAGCAGAAACATACGAAGCTCTAACATGAGTTACTTCCATTAAAGTGATAGTCCAAAGAAACACTTAAGCTAAACAATTCAGACTACACAATGCTTGTTTTTTGGCATTGAATGCCACACACGTACAGTTGTATACGACTATCAATATACTACTTTCAGCATGGCTGATTGCAACTTGGCAAACTCTTGTCTATTCCTCTGACAGACTGTCCCTTCTCCCTTTCCATCAGCCATATCTTAGTGTTTACTCTTGAGGACAACACAGTGACACACTGGAACAGGTTGCCCAAGGAGGCATTCAAAGCCAGGCTGGATGTGGCTCTGGGCAGCCTGGTCTGGTGGTTGGTGACCCTGCACATAGCAGGGGGGATGAAACTAGATGGTCATTGTGGTCCTTTTCAACCCAGGCCATTCTACGATTCTGTGATTCTCAACAGAACTTTGGTGAGACCAATGAACTGAAGAATGGAAAAATTTGGAAGCAAAGCCATGTTTAGGAGTCTTGTATACTACATGCATCACACAACCATAGTATTACCTTAGTAATGATCATTGTGAATATTTAAAATGGACTTTTTTTAGTCAGATCAATAACATTCAACCTTCAATTTCAGCAGTTTGCACAATTGCTTTTGTTTTGACATGTGGCGTGATTTTGACCAAATACAACTAGGATCTATAAAGTAAATTTAAGAACACTTTTCTCATAACTGCTGATGTCAGAATCGGTAAAAATGTGTCAGATCTGCTATTTTACAGGCACAAGGAGATAGTTTTAATAGGATATACTTCAAATAGACTTACCTGAATCTGCATTTTATACCTGCGTTAAGCTTTTAGATATGCAGAAATGAATAATGATCAGAGGACTGGTTAGAGTGATGTTATTGTGAGGAAAGTTAACAAACTATCAAACCATGCTGCATAGCGAACAAATCTCAGTGAAGGGAAAAATAAAAAAGGCAGAGAAGGAGAAAACCAAGCCAACCAACAAAACCACACCAGTAGCACAGACCTACAAATAAGATGCAAATAATATAAAACCTGAGAGAGGTGATGGTTCTTATGGATATCTGTGTTTTTGTAGATAAGAGCACAATGATGACCAAATTTGTCCTAGTGACTCGGCAGAAGATGAGGGGGCAAGGTGTCTGGGTTTTTTTGGTTTTGTTTTGGTAATTTTGACAACCACCTCTCTCTTACTCCTACTCATGAGAATCAGAATGATTAATGCCACTAATTCACAACATAACCCTGGTTAACGTAATTTAGTTTCTGCAAGAGAAGAGGCAATACACAGACTGCTGCTAATGTGTACCTCTCGTACATCACAGTGAGAGCAATTCTTCTGGCTGACAGTCTCTACCACTGATGTTGGGCTAGACTGACGACCATTAGGTGTCACACTGGATTTCCTATCTTGGGATTTTCTTTCTTGGATTCTACTATTAATTTCCAGCTGCAGTCTACACATCTGCTCCTGTAGCTCACTTATCAGGTTCACTACCGACTGAAAATATGGGAAGAAAAAAAAAAAAGACAGGTGAGAAATAAAAATGCAGACAATATGCAAAGAAAGTATTGGTACAGCTGCAGCACAGAGAAATACAGAAAGAATATCAGAGGTAACCTAAAAAGACAGTGTGTTCCCTTTCTGGTAAAACCTGTGAATGGGCTTTGTATAGAGCTACAGATTAAATAGAACAGAATCTATGTTCCAGACCAATACATGACTTCTCATTTCTTCCAAGTGAATTAAATTTAATGAGATTAATCCATCTCCCACAGGAGTAAAAAAGTTTTTAATGGACAAAAGACAAAGTATATATACACACTTTTATTCTTCATTATCATACATACAAGTCTTGTTGTAATCCCAACTCTGCTGATTCAGTAACTTCAAAGCTGCACAGTGCCAGAGCATAAACTGCAAGAACCAGGTACTGCTTCAACCAAGTAAGTACTGAATTATTCAATCTCAAGCTGCACCAGCAACCTTAGACTACTTCAAATATTCAATAAGATTCTCTTTCAAAAGCTTACATATAAATTAGCTAAAATAAATTTACATCTATTAAGTATTTTTGAAGGGCACTGTGCTTAAAATGAAATTCAGAACAGCAGCTGCATATATTTCCCTTCATGCATATCACTCTGAGTCAGGCTCACAACATTCGATGCTCAACTTTTCTCATCCGACAAATCTTTTATACACCTAAAAGAGGATTAAACTGCTTAAAAAAAAAAGCAAGAAATTTGATTGGTGCAATTGGCCCCAGCACACCAACTCTCTAGCATCCAGTCTTTTATAGGCTGAGATGCTCTGCCAGGACTATTCAGTTAAGAAAAAGATAGTTTATTTCATATCAGCTCACCTAGACGAAACTACATCCCTTGTATTTTCAGTACTACTGCCACTTCACAGCAACACAGGATAGTGGTGAGGAGTGCATCCCTGCAGCTAATCCATCCTCTTATCAGAGCACTGCAAAGCAGAACACTCTTCATACTTGCTTCATGTATAACTTAAATGCTATCCACAATCCTTCCATCTTCCATGCTTTGACTTTGTCACCACCTCCACAATCAGACACCTCACTGAGGAGCAGAGTCCTTGTGCTACATGTCTATCTCCTTTCTTTTAAGCACCACTTGTCTTTGCCAGAAAGCACCATTAAACGATATGTTAAACCACTGGTCAAACAAGATGCACAGACTGGTAATTGCTCTGGTTGTAGCACAGTGAGAGAGTTCAGAACCACAACTACTGCTGCTACTCTTCTGCCTCACGTTCACAAAGGCAGTGGGAAACACTCTGCATCCACACAGACTTCCTTCAGGGAACACCTTTCAGTATACAAGAGGCAGAAAACTCTATTCCACTGAAGAATAACTTCATCTTTTCCATAAGCCTAACTACAGAGGCAACGTACGTCTTACAGTTGTTTCCAGTTTCAAGGTGAAGATGTCATCTCTTTTTTTTTGAGATTCTTTACAGCATGATAAATTAATATTAAAAACCCTGTCTTAAACTTGATTCAGTTGAGGCAGCACAATCAACTCCACAGAGCTGTGCTGTGTCAAAGACCAGAAAGAATTACTTGGCTCGCTGACTCAAATTTCTCAGAAATGGCAAGTAATTGTGCACTAGGTATTTGTATTAGAAGTGTCCACGCAACAGCCATAACACGCCTTCCAACAGCATATAGCAAACTTCAGATCCTCAGCACAAAAAACCCACAAAACTTACCACATGAAAATAAAAAATAGGAGGAGAGAATAAGGGCTGTTAGCAAGCTGAAATGGGCACTTATTCTTCAGGCCTCCTGATAGTAATAGGTCATCTCTACTGCCCATGTTTAGGTAAGGGAAGCATCTGGGCTGCAGATAATCACTCGATTGTGTTGCTCTCTCAAAAGTTGCTAACACTGAGGAAACACATTTCTAAGATTTCTAAGTTTCCTCAGGTAAGAAAAGTTACACACATGCCCTCAGGTGGGATCTCAGAAACCTTCACAGCATCATGGCAGCAAAAACAAGTCAACATTATTCCACATACAGGGAATTCAAGTGACAAAGGCAGGAGTGCGACCATCCATTTACAAGTAGCTATTCTCCTGGCTCCTGTGTTATAACTAAATGCCATTATAAATTTAGCATGTGCATTTGAAGAGCCAAAGACAAGTGGCATTCAGCCTGAAATTAATACCTTTGAGAGCCATATTCTCAAACTCTTTGCTGCTAACTATAACTAAAACTAAACCACAGCTGCATAAGATAAACAGAAATGAATCTGATTTAGACTCATTAATATTTAGAAAAATATCTTAATTTGCTTTGTTTCTCCTCAAACCAACCAGAAAAATAATTATATGGATAAATTCTATGTGACTGGAAACAGCTGCTGTGAAATGAGCTGACACAAAATTAAGAGTACACAGGAAGTATGTTTTAGCTGACTTGTTTCACAATTTCACATCTTGTTTTAAACTTTTATTAACTTGCTATTATACTTAGAAATGTCAGAGTCAACCATGAATTATATAATTAACAGGCAGCTTAAAATTGTTTGACTTCAAGATGCCTCTGTAACATGTGGTAGGGTGAAAGCAGTAAGAAAACTATGAAATCACTGTTCTGCTCACCTTTGTCAATCCTAATCTTAGTCTTGAAAGCAGCAATCAGCCAACTGCACATAAGAGAAAGGCTCTGTCACCGACAGCTTTGTTCCACTCGTACAAAAATATTAATTGCAATTTCATTTGACATATTAGACACTGTAAGAGCCTGCTGAAGTAGCCACAACATTCAGAGATACAATTACAGGAAGATTAATTTCATTCAGCCAGAACAGTGTCACCCAAGAAATTAGGTTACCCCAGCACTATTATGTATGCATAAACAAGACCAAACTAAAGGTAGACTCTTTGCTTACTTAAGAATAGATGACTCAGTGAATGCTCAGAATGAATTTCAAATGACACTAAAAGCATAAAACATAAGCAGCATTTGCAGTCCAATAGTATTAAGAAAAGGTAATCATAAATTTCACTGTGATGTTTGAAACTATGGTTGTATTGAGAATTAACAAAATATAATAAAAAAATAATAAAGGGAGCTGAAGTAGACAGACTAAAGCACTAGAACTCAAGTAGGCATTAAGTTGAACCCCCTGTTTATCTTGAAAAATTGGATTAACATTTACTCATGGCAATCTGAAATAAATGTATAAAAGAGTTCAACAAGCAAACTGAAAATGCTTTTTATTTCTTACAGTTTTAGTTCCAAGACTCATTTTCTTTGCTTTGTATATGTAGGCTTGCAACTTTCAACAGGCCAGAAATCTAATCACATCTTGGGGCAATCAATAATTCATAGAATACTTAACACAATGATTCTCAACTTTTCCATTAGATTAGGATCCTTTTCCATCTCAAGAGGGCATTTCCTATCACTTAAAAATACAACAAAGGCTTCCAGACCAATAAAACTAAAATTTTCCATCCCAGTAGGCCACACATCCTGCTGCAGTAGGAGGAGAATTTCACAGGTCACAGACTCACCTTCATCACTGCCCCAGTCCTACTCAGCACTTAGAAATGCTGTCAATGCAAATGCACTGAAAAGCTTTGCTGCTTTCCAGGAATTAGGCTGACTGTGGATATCCTGAAATAATTCAAACAGCTTCTTCCTGGTATTGAACATGTAATGGGAAGCACTAAAGGCCTCTCAGAAAGACAGCAGCTGAAAACAGGCTCCTACCTGTAGCAATTACATGTTGCACAGACCTTTTTAGATTTGCAGGTAGTACGACACTGCTCAGGCCTTCTGTACACAGGACACCAATAATTATGGGTGAAAGAGCATGAGAAGGCCATGGATAGCAAAAACAGAGCAGCTGGTGCTTTTCTGGCTTGCAAACTGCCAGAAAATGCTCTCTGTAAGCAATCTTTTAATCTCTAAAAGAAAACTTCAGAGGACAACCAAGTCAAAAACCAAACACACTCCAAACTTATGTCACTGCAGGTAAATTACTTAGAAGAATATTTGATAAATGTCTATTAACATTACAGAGAGCAAACTGTTTTCTAACACTGCCCGTATTACAGTTTCTTTTAAGACAACATGGAACAAAGTCTTTTTTCAGTTATCAAAATATAAATCTTGGCCAACCCCCAGCTCTACTAATCTACCTCTCCTGCCAGGTAATCCTACCAGTCTACATGGTCTCTCTACAGGAGATGGCACTTCATCTGAATTGCTGTCTTCCATAATCCCTTACCTCTCCAGTTACCACCTGCTGCTCACTACACAGAGGTTTCTATGGAACTGTGCTCAATAAAAAATAATAGACGTTCATTCTATTCCCGTTTCAAACTCTCTTCCTTAGCGAACACAGTGAAAAATAAAGCTGCTTTGATATCCAGAACTTTCCAGTTCTGAAGGAGAAAAATGATTAGAATTTCTTCCAATGCAAGTGATTTCCACCGCCCGCCCCACTAAGTATTTGTTATGTAAACACAAGGAAAAGGGATTGAGGAAAATACCCTGCTCCTTGCCTGTCTCTCCCAACCACCATGAGCACATTAAAATTACTGAGGGCCTCTGCATACAATTTTCTGTAGTGTTCCTGATACTGCTAAACTTATAGTCTTCTCTGTCACAGAAAACACGGAAATAGATTCAATAGGCTTCAAACAGCCATGCCTGTGGAAAGGAAAGAGTTAAGTGAAAAAAAGTATGCTGCTGGAATGGACTTTGTGTCTTGATTAAAGCCAAACAGCAAGCTCTGAAACATAATGAGAGAGGAAAAGAAACCACATCCCAAAAATGCATAATCATATTTCTCACTGAATTCACAGGACCAAAGTACAGATCCCGCTCTAAGAACAGGAGGAAACTGCATGCTGTTTCCAGATCAACAGATGTATGACCAGAGACACAGGACAAAAAAATAATGAAAAAGAAAGAAGGAAGAAGCTTACCTCAGCTTTGTTCTGTTTCTCTTCGTATTCACTCTGTTCCTTTTCCATGCCAACCAGCTTAATCTTCAAGTCGGAAACTTCAGCCATTAAATCTAATTTCTGAGTCTCTAGTGATGTTCGACTTAGCAGCTCCTGAAAGCAAAACAGAGTATTTTCCCAAGTTATTTTTATTTAAACACTGACACAGAATGCTGCATGATTTGCTGGCAAACTCACAGGTCTCTACCCCTTTGTTTACACTTTCAATATAAAAGCAGAACGGTTCTCCTCTTCAAAAGCCACATTCACTACTACTTTACCATGCAAAAAGTGCTTAACACTGCAAGGTAGAAATGATGTAATCATTTACTGCAAGCAGAAAAAGTAGCTAAGAGAGTTCAGAGCGATCAACTAGTTCACATGAAAGCAAATTTCTCTCTCCCTCTCCTCATGTTGTATATACTCTGAACTGTTTGAACTGCATGTTTCTCAAACTCTGCAGTTATTTTCACCTACATGTTCTCCTCTGTTAATCACTAAACCACTGTCCTCCTCCTCGCTTCAACACAACGTCTGGCGCAGAGTCAATCCCTGTGCAAAACATGAATTCAGAAAACAGTACTAAGGCTGAACTAACACAGTGCTACATAATGCCATAAAGACCGTCAGATGACACAATTACAGAATGATTGATTACTTTCTAAAATACTCAGACTAAGCCATGTTTTGGTATTGTAATGCAAAGTTCTACAACATTTTATCACGTGTTATTCAGCATAGGATGTACCGAAGCACAAGCACTGAACCAAAACTGAGTACCAATGGTACATTTCTGCTGTCATGCTAACAGTACTCAAAAAGTTAATACTGTATAGCACTTAGTAACTTCGCAAGAATAGTAACTTTGGAGGGAACAATACTGAATGAGAAATGGTGTGACAAGTGGAACCTAAGTGCAACGTCTAAACTGACTAACACCAGAAACTAGAAAACAACTGGCCATGCTTGTGTGTCCTGAGCTCATTTTTCAGATTGCAGAAATAGGCATATTTGGGGGAGACGATATCACTGTCTTTGGAAAACATTCCACATTCGCCTTTATTGCAACTTTCAGTTTCCAAGAAAGCCCAAACCAGAATATACTACCCCAAATTGCCTCTCTTGGCCTCTAATTTCAAAATGAGAAATCCATTCAGAACTTTAAGTCTTACTGAACATTCAATATCTAACTTTCTAAGTGCCTAACCTCTTTTGTGAAAGATCTTAGGTTTCAGAATAGAGGCAGGTTGCTCCCAAAGCCAAAGAATGTGCCTTGTCCTTCACATCACTGTTGCTGCTGCTCAGATGCACCACCCACTGCACCTCACTTTGCCAACATCCACCGTTTGGTCTCCATAAACATTCAACCAGTGCTGATGAACATCAATACCATTTTTTCATGAAGGAACCCAGTAACACACTTGTGCTCCACCCGCACTTCCATGTCAGACACCATTCTGTCAGACTGTCCCTCTGCTGCCATCTGTCACACAGCAACAACCTCTACTGTCACCCCACCAAAATCCACCTCTGATGTCATGAGCCGATGTAATAAAATAGAAGGCATTTTTAGAGCAGTCTTCATATATACTGATTTTTAGCTTGTTTTGTATTTTTAATTTGATGGTGATTCATAACTGACATTGATGTTTTGGTCATATGAAGCATAGTGATGAATTTCAGCAGATTCTGCTTTGGATTACATGGAAAGTGATTTAGAATTTGCATAGTTATTCTGGATCTGTACTAATGCTACTGAGAGTTCAGGAACTGCTCTTTTCTCATTTCTTCCTTTTACACAAGCTGTATAACATGTTGTATACTACCCTTTGGAGCCAAGGAAGCCACAAACATTATTTTAAAAATGATGCTGTTAAAGTTCACTTGGAACCCAAATCTGCTTTGCATGTACATTGTTTTAGTCCACTGGGGAATAACAGCCCAAATTAGAAATGGTACTAAACTTGCAACTGCATTACAACACCAGTTATCTAAGCCACCCACTATTCCCAGTGTCATTTCCACTCCTGCTGACACTGACAATGGTATTTGTGTATGGGTGGGAAAATAAACAAATGTAGTCCACCCCCCTTCCCCTTTTTTCTTTTCTTTTTCTTTTTTTTTTTTTTTAACCTTGAACAGAATAAGTTAAGTAACAATCAAGATCTAAAGATCAGTCACCTAGTGAAATCCCAGAGCTAGCTAAATTCTACAAATATGATTACAAACACAATTATGTAAAAAAAACCAAACAAACCAAAACCGACCCTTAACATTCCAGGAATAAAGGACTACATCTCCACTATCTTGCACAAATTCCAGAGGAATAATCCAGCCCAGACTGGAATAGGCTCTATGCTGCTGGTAATACAGAAGACTTGTAGAGATTAACATACAGCTATAAAAGAATTTGGATATGGAAATAGGGACACAACATCAAAGAGGCTGGCAGGATGGGGTGACTTTGGCCTCACTGACAGGCTCTTTTCACTGTTGAACTGAAATAACATTTAGACTACTCTTTTTTTCCTTGACATTGATGTAGCATTTGATGATGCAAGGGGAATATTTCTTAATAAGTCAAGAGACAGCATCCATCTAGACGTTTTCAACAATAGAGCTCCTTTGAGAGTACTGTCTGGTATTAATGCTTAGTTTTTCAATAGACTCCTAAATTAAACTTGTTTGTGCAGAGAGTAATACCTCAGTCCTCTCCTGAGTTGCACAGCTCCATGTGAATAGTAAGGTGCTACCTGGTGTGACTGAGCATGAAGGCAGTTTCTATTTATTGATTTTTTTAGACTCAAAATCTTAGTTTGTTCTGAAGATGGACGATTGGATCCTCATCTCGTGTAAACTGGCATAAATCTCTTGCCTTAAAATAGACAAAATAGCTAGCTATCCCTGGCTTGTTTTCAGTGGATTTACACTGATTTAAAACAGCTGACAATTTATCTTGCATCTAGAGTGCCTAACTTTTGCTTTGAAAGAAAGTGCCATTTTAAGTAAATGTCCCCTCTTGAAGTGGATAGAACATCTGGAAGCAATTATTTTCCTCCTCAAGCAGATGCTCACAGAGAACAACTCATTAGAGAATGTGACCCATTTTGCTTCAGAGAAATTATAGTGTATTTCAGTGGTATGATGCAACATGAAGCCATCCAGAATAAATATGAATTGTAAGAAAAGAAAATACAAATTTATGTTATTGGTTTTAAAGCAAAAAAAAAAAAAAGATAATATAAGAGAGGGAAAATAGTAATTTGGCTGTAGTAGCTTTAGGAGGATCTTAAAAATCAGACATACAGAACAGAAATAGAATATATACTGTGAAACTTTAGATATAATAAGCATGTTACTTGTTTTTCATTTAATAAGTACTGTAAGTATAATTTATTTTCCTGAAGTTCTTTTTTTTTTTTTTTTTTTTGAAAAAATCAACTTTAAAAATTCAGGAAAAAACTATTTTAGAGTAGGATAATCACAAACATGGTTTTGCAGAATCTGCAATCCATGTATATCAGATGGATCAATGCCAAACTACTTCCAAACAACTGTATTTTTAAAATTCACACTGTAAACTTTTTATTTAATCATAATCATGCTTTTTTTTCCAATATTCTCAGTGAAACTGAAGCATGTAATGCGTGTCACTTTCAGATTTTGTTGGCTTGGAAATACATATTTCTTATAAAGCTGCTTATAAAATTTAACATGATAGAAAATAACTTAGAAAGAAGCACTGCTCTGTTCTAGGCTGTCTGTTGCAAGCACAGTAAATTACAGGATATTTAGCAGTCTCCAAAACAGAAAAAAAGGATCATGCTACACTGATTCATAATCATAAATAAGATTGTAGTCAAGTGGATAAAAAACACCCCAAAATCCCATTTTGCACTTGTACAAAATACAACACTCCAAAAATGTCTTACTTTTCATATTCATTAAAGCAGCCGAGAGGGAGAGAGAGAGAGAGAGGCAGACCCACCTACCTGGTAAGCAAAATTCAGCAAGAACCACTGCCAGTGAAGACTGTACTTTCTAAGTGCTGTGTGTTAGCTGTGGTGGAAATAAGATATTTAACTGAAAACACAGCTGACAGCAACGTACACGTGTAATTGCCATGAAATGGTGCAAGTCAGTAGCCGAGAGTGAATTACAGCCCTCCAATTCATCATTTGTCTATTATATAGTTAAGCAAAAGAAAGAATTTCCCAGCACACTGACAGTTTGAACAGTCCTTTGCGTACATCTGACAAGCAGATGTGCCTGCAACTGTTAAATAGCAAAGTGGTGTACTGCTCACCTGTATAGATAAGCTGCACTTGAGAGCATGCTCTAAAAATCTCAAGCCTTATAACCAGAGCAGCACAGAGCACATTTCAAACTCTGAAACACTAAGCCAGCAGCTGGCAAGAAGTTACTGCATGTTATAAACAAGTGCTGAAATTCATTTAAGATCAGATAACTCAGGCAATTGAAAGCTGAAGGAATGAACCTTGCCAGCCAGCAAAGTTCCTGAGAAGCAAACAGATAATATACCAGATTTGAACTGTGCAAAAAAGACAGGATTCTTTGCTTCTTCGAGTACAGGACAACAGAAAACTAGAACAGGTACACGCTAAAACACATTGAATTCAAGTTTTTACTCTTTTATAGCCCCTCCTTGCATTCCTTTAATCCAGTGTTTTTTAAAAAGAGTCTCCACTGTGCCTCACCAAGTCTTTGTCTAGCACACATTCACCTGCTATGTACACCCAGGTAGAAGCTGGCCCTAAAATTACATCAGAGAGAAGGAAAGCACTGAAATTAACTCCTGTTTGCATTTAATAATTTCAGTTTCCAAGACAGAAAGAACCTTAGGGCCAAGTCCTTTGTACTCTGCAACAGAATTTACTTGATGGAAGACAATTAGGTTTATGCAATGCAGCCATCTGACCAGTCCTTCAGGATTTGGTGCAGGTCTGACACAAGACAGACACTGCCACACAGATCAGTATTTTGGCAAAACAAACGCAGAGCTTCAATGGCAACTAGTATCTGCTAAACCAATCAAGTGCAGAACAGAAATAGCAAAGAGTGTTTTTACTTGTGGTAATTACTATACCAAATGCACGTAAACTGTGGAGGTGAAATCTGTAAGTGCAGACTTTTCAAACTGAACTAGCACAACTGACAAGAGCAACAACATTAATTTCAAAGCACCAATGCTTTTACATTATGCATGGCTGGTGCTTTCTGATATGAGCCAACTTAAGCTACTTTATAGAGCAAAATGTACTTTTGCTTTCCAATCACATTCAGCAATTTGTACATAGTACAAATATATTAGAAATGGACTGTCATAGTATAAGTTTTTTTTTAAAGATAATTCTAGAAGTATGATTGCTTTTTATTATTATTTTGAGACAAATTCTTTTCTCTCTAAGGTGCAAGGGAGCTAACAATTCACACAGCAGTTCCATATCTTCTACAAGCTTGATGGTAAGACTTGATGGCAAAATTGGAAGGCAATTCAAAGAGACCAAATTGGGGTCTTGTTCCCAGACAGCCTCCAGAAAGTTTTCTCTTATCTTTGAGTATGACTGAAGGACAAGGAGACATTTTTCTTGGAGCATAATACAAGGATACCTAAGGACGGACATCAAGTTTTGCCATTAACTTCCATGAGACAGACCTACTTTGTTTTAGAGAAATTGCAAATGTCTTCAAGATAGAAAATGTTGTTTCTTAGAGTCTGTAGTAGTGCAAGTATTTTTACATAAGCAAAATGTTGAGTTTGATACTGTAGTATTACAAGTCAGGGAAACATACAGGTGATATTTTCTTCAGCTGTAGCTTTATAAACAGCTAGGTCAAATGTGCATCCACACCTACCTTTATGGCACGCCTTGATCTCTTCTGTGAGCTGGTTCAATTCAGTAACACAGAGGAAAAAAACACAACAACAACAAAAAGCCGAACATCCCCTTCTTTCTATAACCCTCCTTGCTTTCTACCCAGTCACTGGGTCAAAATTATGGTAAGCATGAAAGTGAATACAAAAAAAGTGGTAGAAGCACATGGTTTAAGGACAAGAAAAAGAACAGAATATAATGAAGCTTTTTTTTTTTTTAGTAGGAAACTGTTAGATGATATCAACTAACTTCCTCTACGTTTTCAGTAAGAACTATTGCTCCCTCCTCTTAAAGAGATGAAGAATCACAATTTCCTCCCAAGAACCTGCAATCTCTGTTGCTGCTATTCAGCATTTAAGATGCCCACTCTAAAAGTTGAACGTTTGTTTTATGTACTTCAGATAAAGTTTGTTCTAGCTGCATTTCAAAAGTTTCCATGATAGCTTTGTAGCTGAGTTCAAAACAGCTGCATCAATCATAAGCCAGAAGGATTTTAGCCAGTAACCCCACCCATACAAAGTGGGCAAGTCTCTGCTAGCATAGATCTAGCAAAAACTATTCTGCAGGGGAGCATTGCACGCCCTTCTGTTCTGGTACCACCAGATACCTTTTTATATAACTTCATTAAATTATCTGAATAAAGCATTTTTTTTTTGTCTTTAATGTAGCATTTTGGGGTCAGAATTTTTTAACATTTCTCATAGTTCCCAAATTAAAAAAATATGGCTTATCCTGGACTCACGTATACTGCTTCCCAAGTAAGTAAATATGCTGTGCCTACTCATAGTATATGCTGCAATTAGCCTAGTTCTATGAAAAAAAAAATTAAAAATTTCCCAATGACAGGCAATTATTTTCATTCATTTTCCCATTTAGAAGCAGCAGCTGACTGAAGTTCTCAAAGGTAAGAATCAATGTAGTTCAACAGATTCTAAAAAAACAAGCAGATCCAAATAAGACTGGATTTACAATACACCTCAAGAGAATAACAGAAGTCTTCCTGGAAAGCAAGACTATCTATACCCATAGTTAGGACTGGATGATTATTTCTTATTACAAACAAGTTAGTTCACTGTAAAAATAAATACTGTTTGATGGCCCTTGAAAGACCAGAAAGCTTTTTTTTTTTTTTAACTGGAAAAACGTAATGTCAACATTAATATCTTTCATTTATTTGCTAACTGCCATGGGCTTTTGTACAGAACACTGGAAACCATTGGCTAACAAGATCTCGTTTAGATTAAAACAGGAACTTTCTACACTCTACTCCATCTTCCTGAAGTTTGAAAACATTTCCATAATTTAAATAGTTACTGTTCTTTGAATTTCACTTCAAATATCTAAATTAAACATATCTGCTGGTTATATTTTCTAAAATGCCCCCTCACCTTTAAGTAAAGAATAAAACTTTTCTCAGTTGTAAGCATTTTGGGTTGCAACAGTTGTGTGAGACCAATTTTGTTTTCTTTTGGTGAAGAGCTTCAACTGCAAGAGGTTTAGGATACAAATTTTCCAGATGGAACACTACATCCTGCACTACATTCCTGCTCTTGATTTTAAAGGCTATTTATAGTTTTAAATTTATTTTCAATATCCATGTACTGTATTACCAGCAGATTATCTGCATTTGTAGTAACTTGTCTTGATAGAGACCCAAGACTGCACGTGGAAAGTTCTTTCACGTCCACAGACTTTTCAGTTCTGCAGTAACATGAAATGTAAGATACTTATATTCTCAATATACACCATGAAACAATACCGTAGCCTGAAATTATTGACTGAAATAATGAAAAGTATCTTCATATACTTTTTGATTTTTCAAAAATAAAGGAAAAGCTCCTAAATAAAGCAAAAATCATTACAGAACAAAATTGGATACAATAGTTTATTTCAATGCACTAATTGTTCGGCTTTAAAGACATATAAAAACTGAAACTATTTAAATAAAACAACTTAATTCTGTAACTGCTACATATAGTAGGTACACATAACCTGTCTAACCAGTTACTCCACCACATCCAAATTTAGTTCGTCAGCACAGTACAAATAATACACAATAGTTTCATTTTACATGCTGCCACATACGACATTATGCAACCAGCCAATAAAACATTTCTGCAACAGGAAAGACAAAGAAATATTTATTGCAAAAAAAATAGTTTGCAAAGTAGCAAGAGAACAATAAAAAGAGGCAATTCTTTTTCTGTTTTCTCTTGCTACCAAAGGCACTCCTACATGCAGGCAAACGGAGAGTGCATGTTCTCATCTTTCTCAAAGGAGATTATGCAAAAACCTTTCCAATCTAGATCTTTACCTGTTGAAGCATTTCTTCTGTAGCATTCAGTTTCAACTGATGCCCCTCAAGACAGATTTCTAAGTCCCGTATTTTCTCTCCTTGAGCTTCTACCTGGTCTGTAAGAACGCTCACCTGTAATAAGAGAAGAGAAACACAATGATACTGAACTGACAGTAAATAAGTTTGAATTACCTTGTACAATGAACATTCAAATGCACATTTTTACAGTGAATTCCCTTTTAAAGTCCGCAGTTCTTTCATATTCTTTTATAACTTGCTCTATTGAAATAGACAACACTCCATTCTCACGTACAAATAGTTTGATTCAATTCCTGCCCGCTTAAATAGTTTCTGTTGTTGTGTTTTGTTTTTTTTTTTTAGCATATAGAAGAACGTTTCTAGAAGAGCTAGAAGACTGCTTACAGGTAGCCTGAGTCGGTTCATGTACAAGTCTGAACAATCAGAAAGCAGTAAACAAGCACAAAGTATACTGAAAATATTTTAAGTGGTCTCGAAACACGCATTGCTATTTCAGGTTCTATTGGTACTTTGTTTCCCTAAGCAGGTAAATGATAAAACTGCTCATTTGGAAGCTAACCGATTAATTGACTTCTTACAAGAAGAGAAAAATAGCTTACCTATAGCAAAGCACGTCGAAGTTACAAAGAATGCAGTAAGTAAAAGGCATGTTATAGCAGAGGCAAAGTTCTATTCCAAAAAAAAAATTCCCAGGTTTTGCAAGCCAAAACATGAAATCAAAAGAAGTGAGATACAGACAACAAATCCCAGGAAAAAGAAACAATAAGCCATGCTGGTAAAGAACTGTGGGAATAGTGGCACAGAACAATGAATGTGTAAAAAGAAAAGCCCAGCCCCTATTCTCTAAGCTTGTGAAGCTCAGGAAAATTAGATGCAGCACAACATTAGAAAGATGTGAAAAAGCAATATTAATTCCTATGTTAAGCAGCACATACACTCCATGTATTATTTTTGTTATGAATTTATATAAGAGTAGTTTCCACCACAGACAACTTCGATTACATAGAAAATGTTACCTCCATCAAAAAAAGAAATTTATCTCAGGTTTTTAAACTCTAAAATGTCTAACAAAAATTCACCTATGCTCTCACATCCAACTCAGGAGTACCTCTGCTTAATAAGCATCCATTTTTGTTTTTACCTACAAGCATAATGACAAGGCTAGCTGGGAGAGGAATGCAGAAAAGTAGAGCATTTTATTTTTATGCCTTTAAAATCAGCTGGTCCTAGAGAAGAGCACAGATGGATACAGGACAAGAGAACACATTTACAACCCATCCGTCCTCATAAATGGTAGCATGAAGAGACAAGCCACTCAGAGGAATGATAACACTGATATGGCACGCTTTTCCTAATTGAATTTTAAGGACTTTTATGGAGAAGAAAGTAAGGGATGGGCGTGTTGTCTAAAAACTTGATGGTATACCATATGTTTAATTTTAATCTCCCCTGAAGAATTTCAGTCTTCCAATTCAAAAAAAAAAAAAAAAAAAAAAGTGGCATGCAGTATCTAAAAGGTAACTAGCATAACCTAGTAAACCTAGTGTGAAATCTACTACAGCAGCATTAACACCATGGAAAAAAAAATTAACAACACTGTCAGCTTCCTTAGTCATTCTTATTGCTGCTTCTCCCTTCCCCTCCACTCAGTTACCTCACCATTAGACAAACTATATAAATTAAACAAATAATAAATTAGCTCCTGACTGAATATCACTTACATTTGCTGACCTGTTAACAATTGTACCACAGAAAATACGCCATCACTTCAGCTTTTATTCACTGAATATCAGCTACAGAGACAATGTTTTCTTTAAAACGTACCTGCAGTATGAGAGATTCTTTATCGCCTTCTAGTCGTGCCAATCTTTCTTGATAGGTTTCATTATTAGTAGATGAATGATGATTCACCTGTGACTAGAGAGAAAAGGGCAGTAAGAATTTTTGCAGTTAATTTTAAAATTTCAAGCAGTAATTCATAAAAATTGATATAGTGCAGTTTTTATAATGCAACACACAGCAAGACCAAATCTTTACTTTGCACGCATTAAGGCTTTTGTATGTGCATTTTTTATACTTTTTTTCAGCACTCAGTAACTGTATAGGAATAAATTTGTTATTTTCCAGCAAGTTACTGTTTTTTTTTTTTTCAGAAGATGCCAGCTTACCAAGATAAAAAAAAAAACAAAAAAACACATTCTGTTTACACTGTTTGGACTGAACAGTATTTTGCCAAAGTCAAGGAATTTTGATATTTATTTATAAATACCTGCCATATGTATTATCCTATTCCTAGAAATTTACTGAAAGAAAAGAACAAATTCTTTCTTAATGACTAACAAGTTATTTCAATTACCAAATTCCTATCAGGAACTATTCTGGTTACATAATTATTTACATATTTCTAAACATCTCTAAAGAGCAAGACCTCCTAAAGCTTTACCTTACATCTCATTTTCAACAGATTTTAATACACCAGAGACAAACACCCCAATAATAATAATAAAATAAATTCTTAAAACAAGACAAAGAAATATCTGCAGATTTTTAAACAAAAAAACCAAACCAAACTTTGGAAGAGTGTCATACTTCTATGGTTCATCATCCATCTGGAAGCTTTATGCAATTGCAGGACTGCTTGCTTAAAGTACCCAGTTGTAATATTACCCCATAATGGTTCATTTCCCTATTGCAGGCAATGCTTTTCTGCCTGGAAATAAAACACCTTTTGGTTATGTTGGCTTTTCAGCTAACATAAGAATCCAACTACAGAGTTGCCTTTATCTGCACTACTTTGCAGCATGCTACTCAATTACAGTTGCATGTACAGCAGCAGCGGGAGGATTGTCATCTGTGTGAACTGCCTGTTCTTTTTCAACTGAACAAGTTTATCTATTTTTTTTTTTCCATAGCTTCCTGATCTCAGCTGAGGTTTAGAGGCCCAACTGTAAAAGAGACCATGAAAATAAACATAGCACTGATTTACACAAAGCAAGGAGTAGTTACCAATCAAATGCCAAAACACACTTTCCAAACTATGAAATACTGAACTTCATATCAGTTTAGCAGCTTTAGTAGTTAAGCTATGATAACCTTCGTCTCTGATATTTTTGGAAGTATTTTAATCAAATATGCACATCAACAAATAGGACTGAAAGGTATCCGAAGAAATCATGTGATTTGTTATTCTGCCTTGGAACAGATGATTATTTGCAATTCTTGTTTTGTCTGCTTCTAAAATCTCTACAAATGAAAAACAGGTACCAGTCTCCACATGTAATCAAACACCATCAATTTAACTTAGGTCCTATGTATTAAGCTGTACTTAAATAACTTTTGTAGTACTACAACAAAAAGAAGGAATCCTTATAAGTAAGCACGATTTATTTCTGTATGTCTGTGTAGGCAGTCCTTCGACCTCAGCTATGCATCCTCAATCACACTGCCAGCAATTCTGCTTCAAACTATGTGAGAATGAAATCCTTTAGACCAGAAATCTTTACCATTGTCAACTAGGTTTTCATTACAGCCAAAAAACTCCTCTCCATCTCATTACAAGCTTTTCCCAACGGACAGCCCACAGGCCTTCCCCAGCATGTCTGACCCATACACCATGATAGGGGAAGACTTTCCTGAACACAACTTCAAGCACACAGGGGACAACAGCAGACTTCTAGGCAGGAGAAAATCCTCTCAACAACAAAAGCCAGCAGTGAGAACCACTCAGTCAGGTAGATATTCCTACCTGTTATGCTGTTGTAATTTGCTATTTTCCTATTTGCTATTTGCTAATATTAATTTACTATTTGCTATTTACTAATTTAACCAATCATGTAATGACTCCCCTGCTCCCTTTCCAAGCACAGCGTTATTGCCAACACACTTTTACATAAGCAATCCATTACCAATATAAACTAGAGTTCAACATTTTATATAATCAGCGATGGAGAATTAATTCAACATCAAATCACAAATAAGGCAAAAAATTTACTGCACTCACATTTATCAAATATGCAGCCCCAATGATGTCTGCAGCACTGACTGACAGGGAAATATCCTACGTTGGAACTTCAACACTCAGTACCCATGTAAGACCCAGTGAATCACAGACCAGTGTGAACAAAGAGAAGGAAAAAAAAAAATACCAACCCTACCAACAGGGTTGACAGAGCGCTCAGACAAATACAGGACAGTACAGTACACAGAAAATGGCCTGCTTAAAAAAAAGTGGCTGACTGACACACAACAGTTGTTTAAGACTTTGGAAGTCTTCGTGGCATGCATAAAGACAAGATAAAAAATGTAACATGAACCAAGGCCATCTGTGCATGGTTGGAGTGCATTCAGCAGTTGTGAAAGACGGTACTGAGATGAAACTAAGTATAGTTAGGTATCACACATATCAGGAGCCAAATATAGGACACAACGCTGAAGTCAAGCATAGACAGCAAATCAGGGTAAGAGATCACAAACACACACTAAACTTATGTAACCACATGATCAAAAGGTTGAATCAACCAAGATTTTCTACAAAGATGTTACTCCATAAAAAGTAACCTAGAAAATTAAAAACCATTACTTGAGCTTCACAATTTAGAGCTAAATGTGTTAATTATATTTCTTGTAATGAAAGAATGGCTGAAATAGCATAAAACAAGAAACTTTCTGATAACATGATGAAGAAATAGATGGAAATATATGTTCAGTCAGGATGATTGGAACAGTTACAACTGTTCCAGTGCTGCAAACAAAAAGTCAAGTATACATCCTACGTGCTCTGTTAAGACAGAAACTGAAAAGCAGTTTCTTGAAGCACCTATACTACTCACTCCATAAAGAACCTGGTATAGTTCAGTGCCCAGACTGCATCAGACATGAATACAAAATATTTCCTTCAACAATTTAAAACCAACCATTTCTTCCACTTTTGGAAAAAAAAAGTTTTTTCATGTCACCACCTGCTTCAGCTCCTTATTCATCTGTAGTTTCCAGGTTTATCTTGAAAATGCTCTTTTACCTCTAACTTGTACATAATACTGATTTGTGCTGAAAAATGGAGCATTTAAGTATCATTTACATGATCCAGCAACTACAGAATCCTATTCCAAGAAAAAGGCTCAAACACTCCTCCAGATTATGATAAATTAAATAAATAAAATCAGAATATAGATTATGATTCAACAGCTTTAGGTCAAAATGAAGATAAGCAGCAATAAATACAGCAAGAATATGGCAAGAAAGGCAGGACATTTGATCAACTAGTTAGCTTAATTTTCAATAGCCTTCTTAGATAGGAGCTCAGAGTCCAGCAAGTGAGGAATTTTATGGTTTCTTCCATAGTTTTATTATTTCTTCCATGTTATTTTAACAGGATGCAGCATATTGTCAGAACTGAACAACCACCACTGGTTAGAGTTTCTCTACAGATGTTCTAGTCTGAAGTTTCTGAAACAAAACCTGTTGAATCATGACAGACTGTAGGAGTAAGTCCCTTAAAGGAAGTACATTTCCAAGATAATAGAATTGAACAGAGGCCAATTTATGTTCTCCTCATGTGTTAAGTTTAATCTCCAAGAATTTCCAACACAGCTAATTTTAAAACTTCTGAAGTTGATCAGCCAGCTGTTACACAAATATTTTCCACTAATGTCTGGGTCTCATATTGGGTTATAGAAGAAAAAAAAGTTGAGAAAAGAAATCTGGCAGTCATCTAGGCTGGTGATTTGTACGCTTTTTCAATAAGTTGCTTGCCTCATAGAAGACAGATTATGGCAAAACCATCCTTTCCTCTTATTCAGTCACACGAATCAACTTCATTTCCACTGATAATTGAATCAGATGCTTGTGGCAACTAGAGTGCTTGCATCAGTAGGAAAGATTAGGGACACTCTCGATAAATTGTCTGCTGTTGCAGTTTAGAAGCTGAGAACAAGGAGTATAGCCAGCAGAGTTCAACCGGCCAGTTTTCCACAAACTACTAAGAGCACAAAGACTGCAGGAAAAATGTAGACTACAGACATTTTTCTGTCTATCTGGAGTTGATAATATTTAGAAGAATATGGACTTCCCAACTCCCCCCCACCACTGTTTTGGGTCAGCAAAACTGATGTTGTGTTGCAGTTCTTGCTGCTGTAATAGTAATGAGTCAGGAAACAGGAGTGAGTAGCCAACAAAGGAAACATTTTTATTTTGGCACCTATCTATTAATATACATTTATTCTCTTGATACCTGAGATACATGCCCATGTGAATTTATATACATTCACTCAGTGTACTTGAGGAGGGAAAGAATGGCTGGAATGGGATTTCTGGATCTATAGTTCTTGCCTTTCACCTGAAAGCAGAAGCAACAACTGGATTTTCTGTTTTCTTCTGTTCCTTGTTGATTAAAGGAAAGTGAAAGTCAAGCTGAAAGAGCTAACAGCGCACAGTACAAAGGTAGGCAAACTCATACAGTCCTTAAAATCAAAGAATTTTCACCAAATATTTACACTTCTATCAGGAGAACTCCTAATGCTAGCACTTAAAGGAAGATATCCATACACAAGTCACAAGGTTCATCATCAATATCATCAGCTTAAGTGACATAGCACGAGCTCAAACGCTTCACCTTTTGCTAGTAGAGATTATATACAGTAGTCAGAACCACTAATATATATCTTTCTCAGGTCAACCATCAGCTCAGCACTGTGAAGACTTCAAAACTTAAGTCCAAAGTAAGCTACAAGAGTTATCAGGTGTTTCGGTTTCACACAAAGGCATTTCTTTCAAAATGAAAAGTCTTAGCACTTCAGTGTTTTTCAGACAAGAGATTCTCCATTTTGCTACACTCCATCCACTGCAGTTCAAATAGCTCAGTTAATTTACAATATAATTAGAGAGTTCATTACACCGTTTATTTCTGTAATGAACCATAG